GGAAGCCAGACCCTTGGCCAGTTTTATTTTGTTTTTCGTTTTTTGTTTTTAGCATTCTGCATCAAACTTTGAATTAGAGCGTTGTTGCTCGCGCCTCACTTGTCCGCTATTTTTTTCTGTTTTGTGCTTTCGCAACCCACCTGTCAATCAATTTGATTTTAACTTTATGGTCTTGATTTCGACTTACTGCAATTTTTGGGATTAATTAACAAATTCTCAGCCGATGAGTATGTCGAAATTTTTGCGTGTGTATTATTAACTGAGAAATTTATTTACCCCGAAACTGAGAATAGCTTTATCAGCAGATATTCTCGAGAAATTCTCTTCTCAACCATGACCTTTCGGACCAAAACACTCCCAGCTTAGTTTGCCAACATTTTGTGTGAACTGGCTTCGATCCATGCAGAGTTTCTTTGGGAAATTATTTCGCGCCTAATTGTTACTTAGGAGAGATGTCACCTTGGTACCTTGCAAATTCGTTTAACTTCATCTTTTTCATACCTCTTCTGCTCATACAGTTTATTTAATTTTCTCTTGAAAACTACACGGCTTTCTCTAACCATTGATCTAACCACATGGAATCATTTTGAATTTTAAAATGAGTGATTCCTTTGACTAACATTTAGGGGTCGAAGAGCGAAAGAATTGAAGTACAAGCTTTTTTTTCTTGATTTTACTGATTTTTTTATTTGATTATATTTCCATCCTAATGGGTTTCTGTGATATGATAAAATCAGATCATCATCTTCCCTCCCCAAGAACTTTTATCTCATGACCTAAATGCACACGGTGTTCCTGTTTGATGTATATCATTACCCTAATAATTTATTAAAGTATCTCCAAGCACAGCTTTGAATATAGTTTCCTCAATATCTGAATTACTTCCACAATTACAACGAACCCAGCATAGCCACTAGGACAGAATTCGGTGAAATTCAAACATCACTACAAAACTCAATGCTTGTAAATTATTACTTACTTACGTGACGTTGCTGTGGTTTTCATTACTGTGGGAGAGTAACAGACCTCAATAGTAAATTTACTAGATTTGCATTGACTTGCCAAAAATTGAAAATTTCGAAACTGAGAGCCTAAGGAGAATCAAATTGGAAGCTAAAGTTTCGAGCAAAAACATGACTAGTTTGGTGAAACAAAGGAGTAAAGATCTGCGAAGGCAGCAGAATCGAATTCGAAACTTAGTGCAGGGTATTTCATCTTTATCAGTTTGGCTTTCATAACTGACTGATTATTTCACTAGCTCACCGATTCATTATCGAAGCCTCTTTTTTTAATTCAGTTAATTCTCCTAAATAGATGTGTCATTGAGTCAGTCCTCTACTCTACAAGGGGAACCAAAGCTACATAGATCTGGGGGAGAATGTAAAACTTGAGTACAGCTTGATCTATAATCTCGGTCCTTCAAATCATGATAAGAAACCTCTTCCAGCCTGATATATCTCTGAGTTCTAAGCTCAAGCTGAGAAAGTTCAAATAAGGGTTGTAGCGCCTGGCAACCGGGGAAAATGATAGTCACCGGTATAATGTGCCCTCTGAGCTTTAGCAGTTGACCGTTTATAAGCTTATTGATTTGACGCTGGTGAGATTCATTTGCCTCCATCCTTCACTGACTTAAGCTGAATGTTTGCATATTTTTAATTTCCAAAAAGGAGGTCTTGCAGAATGATTGGCTCTGATGAGCTGCTTGACCCCCCCACCAGAGCCTTACTTTCGGTTTCACTCATTTATCGCCTATTGTGTCGTTTGAGGATCACTCTCTAAAACACTTAGATTGTAACAAATGCATGAATCTTTCACAGTAATGTTCATCAGTGTCTGTCCATTTCGGTAAAACTCGCTAAGAAATAAGGTAGCAAATAATCTGGGTACCATAAAAAGGACAAGCTTCATCTACGATATAATTTAGTTTTATCAACTGAGTCGATAATGTAAATTGGCCACCATAAAGAGCAGACGTTTCAAGCGCTAGTCCTTCGTCAGAGCGAGCGGTCGTTTATGGTTGGCGAACGGTCATGTGCGGCGAATCGTCATATATTTACGATATACAGCCCTAAACATCAATAACATAAGTTAGAAATGGCACAACTTAAGACGAGTGATTTTTTTCTTCTATTAAATGTTAGATATAGGACTTTTAGACACTGTTCGCAAAACCTTGAGGCAGTCAAATGGAAGATAGTTTAGAAAGCTACCTTTTTACCATGGCAAAAAAAAAAGTTTTTAAATGTGCCGATGGAAAGGATCGTGGCACAAGTCAAAAAAGAGGGGAAAAGAAAGTTCTTCACTTAGCAAGGTACAAGGTTTCGAAAAACTGTGTGGCTTTCAAAAATCTCCATAGTTGCAAGGTGATAGAAAAGGAAACTTCTCGCTCCTTTTGATCCTTATGCTGTATTTTCCTTAACGAGTCACATCTAAACCAATCAAACATCGAGATATTATCAGCAGAGTAGGAATAGACCTAGATTAAACACTTTTCAGCCGAACAATAAATGAAGCTGAGTAGACAGGAAAACAAAATAAGTGCATGAAAACATTTTCAGTAAGTCGAAATCCGACAACAAGTCTTATCTTACGAGATTTGAGCTGCAAAACCCTTCTCAGCCAAAACCCTTCAGAGATCTGAGTTGAGTTGAATTATGAAGTAGGCTTATCCTTTGGTATATGAAGTTTAGAAAAGAGTGATGTAGGGACTCAATATGCAAATTTCGGGGCGCTTGCACGGCACCAGGTGTCTGGGGAGAGCCAGCATCTTATCATAGACGGCTGATCGATTGTTGAGTAGGTTGAATCAATTTGGGACGAGTTTTTGAGGCGATGACGGCTCAACTCTGATTCTTGGAATCAAAGGATCATCTGCTTCTTAGTACACTCATTGTGCAATCACTGCATATATAATCAAATATAGTACATTCTGCGCAATATGTCTACGAGTTGATCGTGGTATCATTTGGATCACTTTTCCCTTTCTTCGCGTCGACGCACTAATCATCATTTTTTTTTTCGTGCCTCAACTATAACCGCAATGTTGGTTTGTATTTTAATCGACTCTTGTAGGGAGGTTTGCGTATATTAGAAAGATTCCGAGTCGAGGGTGTCTGCAATATAATCTTGCTTAAAAACGCTTTAAGTGCTAGAAATCGTTGTTGGCCTAAAGCCATACCTGTATACAATGTGAAGAGGTAGAATTTAGAAGCCAACTCTTCAATAAAAAATAAATTCGAGAGTAGAGTATAATTTATAATTCTTTATTATCGTAACTTACATAAATTGTTATGTACCATGCCATGTTTGAATAAAATATATGGCCACAAGAGAAAGTTATGGCTCTGAGAGGGTGGTTTCTGTGTCAGCGCTTTCGATATGTCAATTTCTCCTCAGTTATCTGTGGATAGTCTCTTTCGAAGAAGTCTTCTTCGTAAGAGGCTTTCATAAATGCAAACCTTTAGTTTATGTATGATCTTCTTAGTTAAAGCAATATAGCAAAAGACTATGTGGAGATGAGTTTTGTAGATAAAAAGAAGTCTTTGATATAGAAAGTATACAAAACGTTGACTTCATGGGTGGCAGAAGACTGAAGTTTACTTTAGTGAAATTATCACTTGTCAGCTAACATCCTGACTACAGCTGTCTGAACTCTTATTTTCTTTTGGTTATCGTCAATGGTACACAACATCCCATCCTACTTAGGAACTGTTTTTGGATATCCCGTCAGAAGGGACAGTGGATTATGCAATTTCGTAAAGTAACGATCTTACATAGGAGCTAAAAAAGTATGGAAAAAAGACAGCGACTCCTAGTTCTCTTATTCTAACGTATGGTTACATTAAAATATAAAGCAATTCTGCGTTCTTGGACTTCACATGGCCATCAACGCGGTTGACCTGAGTACGAGGTTTAAGACGTCAGCATTACCCGTGTTAATCTCTTCCCGGCGTTAATCGTTATTGACCTGATATGATTGATAGGGTGGATGGTTCCTTTTTCTTCCAAGATTGCAATTACTTTTAATTAGGGAAAAGATTCCAAAGGAAATTGAGACTGATATCTCAATCATATTTGCGGACTATTCTGTGGAAACTGGGAATAGGCACTAGAAATATTATGACAGAAAGGCAGTATGATCAAGAACTTAGTTAAGAACATATGATAGAGCAAGATGTCAGAATATATTCAATGATGAGCGATTAAAGACTCAACATCGAACTCATCCAAAGGCGATTCAATCCTGCATTTTACTGATATATTTATTCATTTCTACTAAACACTGTGTTATTGTCTTTTCAGCTTCAAACCAGCCTTATTTATTTTTAATATCAACTGACACTCGTCACTTTAATATGATTCCGGAGCAGAGAGCAAATACATTTTGAAGGGCACGTATGTTTCATCAATGGGTTTGTTGAGAATGGCGAAAACTAAGAAAAATTAATTAGAAAAGGTGGTTGTTGCAGTAATCAAAATAGGCTTTAAAAAGAGGCTTAGAAACTCGATATGTGTAGTCTGAAACCAACTTTTTTAAAGATGGGCGACTATCCCCAGGAGAGCCCGTGAACCTTTCGCAGTTAAAAAGAAAAGAATGTCCGAAATGACAGAGATAGATTGGCGTTTTGTCGTTGTTGACAAGACAAGAAAATGTCAACTGACCCTGAAATATGTGACGCGACCACTGATACACTGTACTACCGTCTTGTTGATGTATACTAACAAAAAGAAACTTTCTGCAAATCGCATAAGATCATGCTTTGGCTTCCCCGCCCCTCAGATTATGTTTACCAGCTGAGAATTTGAGTGAACCAGATCTTACTTTGAACATGAATTTCAGCCTGTCATTATTAAATTCTCGCAAGTGACATTCATGCAATGGGACCTACAGAAATATTTGCCCTGATTGGTCAGACTCAAGGACGCGTTTTCAGGGAGGATTTCCACTTCCAGGCAACCGAAGCCTTAGTAAATAAATGGTTACTGTAATTATTCGATAAGGAAATTCCTCTTCGTAGCTCTGGCTTGTGCAAGCGTTATCTAAAGCAAGGTTTGTTAGACTTATCTTCTCGTGAAAATCATGGTACAGTTCTGCAGTAGTTTACCACTCTAAATCCAAGCTCGCTTTTGAGTTACGATCCCCCGTGCGAATATCGCAATTTCATTCTTTTGATTTCACTGATTACCAGTGTTGTTTGTTTATATGTGTTTTAGTTTGAATATGTGAAACACAGATTTATATTCTTCTTCAGCGTTTAATTCCGTCTGCACGACGCTGTAACTGCAATATGATGCTTCTACATATATAAGCCTTTTGCAGCTACCTGACTGCAAGAGAACTGGTTGTAGAGGAACCGCATATACAGTGTGTGACGAACTCGTTTGCCTTCAACTCGTGATTTAAATACTTCTGTCGTTGTTCCTCGACATAATGCGTGGGTTATTACCTGCTGGTAAACCCCAAGAAAGTGCAATCTCTCGGTTAGATAATCAATCAATTCTTAGAACTTACCTTCTACATTTTATTCAACATTTTTCATGTTTTGTTCCTTTCCATTAGCTATATAAAGATATCAAAAAAGCTCACTGTCAAATGGGTGACGTTCATTGCTTGTTGGTGATGATCCTTGTCCTGTATTTTCCCTTACGTGTTAAAACTGGTGCCTTAAAGAATGGCGATATAAGCAGTGATGTTACAACCAAGAAAACCGATCCTTTCAAGGCCGTAGATATGATCAACTTATTCAGGTGAAGTGCACTCTGTAGTGTATACTCAAATTTGAAAAAGATTTTGATGTTTATTTTTCTTGTTATTCCTCATTTGGAGAAAGGTTAAAGTTACTTCAAGTTGGTTCGTTCAGGTTTAGAACTTCTTATTTCATATCTAACTAAATGGTTATCTCCAACGATGACCAAGAACTGGGACGGCTAAAGTACTAAGAATATTTGTTGACTTCAAAGTTCAGAAGGCCGTAATAACAAAAACCGTGTAAATAATATTTTTCTATGTCGTGAATTGTCCGAATTATTCTCAGTATTCGAGGGTTTTCACGGTTGAGAAGATTTTCCCGCAAAACGTTAATGCATGGGCGAGAACAAAATTCTCAGACCAAACAAGAACAATTTCCACGAATGAAAGATATCTCAACCCAAAGAAAACGATTCGGCTCCAGAAAAAACACTCCAATCGATGCATACATGTATTACTTTCCAAGTTTTCAAATTCACGTTATGCTGCATTGACATAGGAATGCCAATGAAATCTAGGATAATTTAAAATTGCAATACTTTTCACCGTTTATTGACTGCTTTGTTTAACTGATGAAATTTCCTGAATATTTAAGTCCTTTCCTCTCATCGGTTTGTCTCGCTTTTAGTGTTTATGCTAAGTATACATTCATCTCTGTTTTACTCTTGTATAGATCTTCGAACTTCCCCGAAAGGAGAAAATTAATACAAAGAAAAGCAAAAAAGAAATTTGCCAAAACTCTCAGAAGGAACGATAGCACAGGTTGTTCGAGCGAAACCGAAAGTTCGGACTACTCCGACAACAATTTCGAAACTTCGGAATACGTCGACGATGTTTACGACAATCGATTCAATTCGGATGGTTCAGATGACCCCAAAAAGTCTGGAGGATCGGGCACGGACTCTGAGAGGTGCTGTAATGGATATCCGTATTATGATCCAAACGACTCGGATTACTAAGAGAGACAACACGTTTTGTGTCTTATTAACGCTATCATTTTTTTTTTCATACGACAGAAATCTTGTTCCTTTGTTTTGCGTCAGTGTGTTTATCTAACCCTTAAAAAATTAGCTTTGATCTACACGCTTCAGTTACACGATATTAAATTTTGGCGCCTCCTATGAAGCGATCTTTTGCTCTTGGTTTTTTTAGGTGGAAGATTGTTGGTTGTGTAGGGATTAATAAACATGTCACGACAATATCTAGATCTGGCTGAGGTTGTTTTTGTTTCTAAGCTCTTTTTTCCCGTTTTTATAAACAAATGAAATATGGGCTGTTGCGAGGGGATCGAATCTCTTGTAACATCCCTTTTATTCAAATTACGTATCATAAACCATATATACTTGAAAATTCAAAGGCTCTATTTCACTATTTTTATTATTGTTATTGAGTTAGGGGCTAAAAAATGAACTAACAAGAGCTCCGCTTTTAGGCTCGGCTATATTAGTAGTATTGGTAGTAGTAGTAGTAGTAGTAGTAGTAGTAGTAGTAGTAGTAGTAGTAGTAGTAGTAGTAGTAGTAGTAGTAGTAGTAGTAGTAGCAGTAGCAGCAGCAGCGGCAGCAGCAGTAGCAGCAGCAGCAGCAGCAGCAGCAGCAGCAGTAATAGTGCTATTGTTCTCGTTTTCCTTGTTGTTTTGTTTCTTCGAAGTACAATATTATTTCATTCTGAGAGGGAAAAATTTATTGTGGGAAATTCTGGATCAGTTGGGCTGCGCACCGGACACAGTCCAAAACCCATCCTTCTGTACCGAAAAATGATGATTCTGACCACTACATTAAGGAGGGAACTTGATTGACGTGGCTTTTTATCCGATACACCTTTAATGTTTGGCCAACTACCGACTTAGTCCTGGCAAGCAGTTTACTCACGTAATTCGAATTCACCACAGCAGTATTTTCTGGAGTAGGAAATGGTGGTTTGATAATCTGTGTGCAAAATTGGCTTATCGTCGACCCCGACCTCGAACTGCATAATCGGATCAGTGAAAACGTTGACTAATCAACTGGAAAGTACAAGCCAACTTTCTTTTTCTTGCTCACAAGACCCTCACAAGTACTTCCGTCCGAAAACGGATAGCCTTCGAAGCTAATGGCTTCTTTTGGATCGCCTTCGAAGAGGGTGGTTTTTTTTTAATAGCCTTCGACGTTCTCCCATTATTCCGCCCCAGGGCCCTCGCGGCTTTATTACTTATTTTCTAAGCTTTAATGCGATAAATGCCTCGAGGCGTACCCAAAACCACCAGATAAGCATGTTACGGAACGGGAAAATAAAATATCAATTCACAGATAAAGTGTGACAGAAGGGTTCCATTTGATAACACTTATAAAGGAAAGTACGATTGGGGCTATTGACAGATTTAGATTGACGCGAGCAAGCATGGAGTGCCACACTCCTTGCAGACCTCCAAGCAGCTCGCTTTGTTCAAGACCTCATACTTTTTCGCAGCTGATGACATACTCGTGCCGCAGCGCTAAAAATGAGAACCTGCCTCTTGGCTAGACGCTGGACACCCAACCTGCTTAGCCATCTCGTCCTTTTCCCCATTGCACAGGCCTGAGCTGAGCGGAGGTCACGCGAATGCAAACGGCCAGTGATGCTGAAAAAATAGATCATACCGATAAAAAAAAAACAAAACAAAACAAAACAAAAAACAACCAAAAAAACCCCGACGGCTAAGTTAGAGTATCACGCAATGCTGCAAATCGGCTGAGGACAACGAAAGACCTTTGAGAAGAAGTAATATTTTTGGTCATTTCTTTACAACGCGAATATTTTCCGTTACTTCGACTTTGGTTAAGCTGTCTGTGATTAAAGCGTTTTTCGATCTCACACAGCAGAAACAAAACGAGGTTTTGCTTCTCTGACTCAAAGTTGGTCGTTTTTACCTACTAAACGCTATAAAAGCACTCGAAATGCCGCTTTTATTAAATAAGAGATTAAGTGATGAGTTGCAATACCAGCAGATTTCAGAGGGTTGCAGAAGTCGCGGTCGCTCCAATATCGTAAGGAGGAAAACATACCAGAAATCATTTTTATTAATGAAACGGGCGTCCACAGCTGGGTAGCGAAATGAGTCGGTTAGGCAAAACAAAGAAGGATCGACGAAAGACTGGAGTCGAGTAAAACGGTTTTATTTATATTTACCTTCAAAATGCCGTTATGTGATTGGTTGACGCACCTTTGAGCGTCAATCAACCAAATTCAAACTTGAAATGGGATCCTCTCGGAAACACAGCGAGAAGACAGGTCGTCTTAACTAATATCGGAACTGAGACTTCGAGCATTTTGTGGTCAACATTCCTCTGTAGTTTTATCGCTATAGTTCCACTTGTTTTAGATTTCTCTCGGAGGAGTTATTGAGCAGCGAGTTTAGTTCTCAAAGAGTGGCGTGGTTAACATTTTGATATTGGGTACAATCGTAAATTTCGTTCCAATACAATTGAGCTTCGCCTTCGAATCTCCTGGTTTTAACGTTCACCTCAATATGCCTTCGTCAGCTTTTCCTCCACAAATTACCAAGCACTACGAACTGAGGCAAACCATTGGAAGTGGTAGGTGGCTGAGTTATAAGATTTTAAATTAATTGAAGGAATTAAGTTTGTTATTTGCAAATTTGGAATTCGGTAAATATCCGTCGACATTCATGCAGCCGGTCTCAGTTGAGGGTCCAAGAACCAAATTACGTTCGAATGCATTGTGTTCTTCACGGCTAATAAATTCGAAGGAAACAGTTTCCATCGATCTTTTATTCCTAGGATTGTGAATTTAAATATCAGCTTTATCAGTTTATGCTTTAACGCTTTCTTACGAACGATCTGAACTGTGCATGTATTGCTCATTTTGATTTTTTGCATATTTTTCACGAAGGTCGGTATATACTTCACAAATATTAATCTATCAAGAATTATCTTGTCTAGTTTGGCAGTTTTTATTTATTATTACGAATCGAGGAAGCTATTGCTTTAACTGCTGTTTCGGCTTTGGCTGTTAGAAAACCTAACTTTCTTACGGAACGTGGGCGACTAACATTTGCCTCGAAAACCAATATGCGAGGTTGAAATTTCGCAGTTTGACAGGAGTCATTTAATCGAGTGAAATAATAAACTTATCTGAGAATGTACTTAAAACTATTTGCCTTTTGTAAGATTTGAAAAACAAGTCTTCTCTGAATACAAATCGATTTCTTTTTTCACCTTTTGGTAAGCTTATATTCACATGTATGTCACGAAGAGCATGTTAATTGTGTTCAGTTACGTGCGTGGCATAAGCGTCGGGTCAATTTTGGTTTAACGACGCATGGAAATGCGTTGGATATGAGGTTTCTAAATAAAATACAATACCATTTGTTCGGACGTTATCAGACTACTTTTTTTTTAATCAGATCTGACTCAGCGCTGTCTATCCTGTAGCAGATAAAAGAACTCGTTTGCTTCCAATTGTACACACTTTTGTTTAGACTAAAGACAAGCACGTTTTAAAATGAAAATTCCGTTTATGCACACTGTCAATACTTCCGTAATTTGCAAATGAGTTCGAAGTCCTACAAGCGATAAATCTGTATGAGTTACTCCACTGTCGCAAAGTCTAGCAAATAGTCGTTCACTTAACCATAATATTTCTGGATTCAAAAATTATGGTTTCAGAAATCAATGTCGTCTGCTTGAATTTAAATTATAAATCTGCTAATACTATGTGATAGTGAACACATTGTCAAATCAGAATGATGTTGTGTCGTGTAATTGAAAAAATTAGCATGTATTAACATAAATTTTTCCATGCAGCTGCATGACACCTTTACTTTTGTTCTGAAACAAGATTATAGTTTTCATTCCCCTTCCTTTTGTTTCTTTATCTAAGATAACAATCTAACACAGAGCAAAAAAGACAAACATTCAATTTAATTTGTTTTACTCTTAAGTATGTATGAAGCCAAAACAGAATCTACAGGATTCAGTCACTGATAACGTAAATGTAAATAATACAAGATAATGTACTTTTAAGGTGTCTAATCAACTGACTTTGAAAAATAATCCTTGGAGCATTTATCTAAAGCCTTTGTTACAAGAAATTTGCTTGTTTATAAGCGAACTTTCCCTTTTGAAAGATTTGTTTGATTGAGTTGTTATCACAAGGTTTTTCAGTTTTAATACCAACCTTGTGATACATTTGTTAAATAACATGAAAAGAGTTTTGAAATAGCAAGGAAGAGTGATAATATGTTTGTGAATGCTTTTTTTTTCATCAAGGAAGATTGCAGTTATACAAGGGATTATTTCAAACAATGCTCACTTAGGATTTAATTTTTGCTGCCTCAATATTCCCTATCACGTTTTTCAACTTTTAAATCTCATTTAAATAATCAGTTAGAGACCATGGTTCAACACTTTCTTGTCTTTAAATGGGATGAAAAGTTCTTTGTCTATTTTTATTCATTTCAGGTGGGTTTGCAAAGGTCAAGCTTGCAATTCACCAGCAAACGGGAGAGAAGGTATGAAACAAACGTCTCCTTTAAAAGCAAGGTGGTTTTTGTTTCCCAGGTTTCTTTGTTAGTATAAAGAGAATGAACAGTGACCTTCTCAGGGTTTTTCATTTGGAAATGTAATAGATGTATGGTTTAAACTTGGTTGAATTGGATTATGCTGGTAAACAAATGTCACAAACATGGCCCTGTGTTGCTCTCTGAAAGCGGATTTCCAACATTCTGGGACATATTTGACTAACTATTCTTAGCGAGACCTTGACTGAAGAATCAGTTTTGAAAAATACTCATTTTCTGCCTTTGATCACAAAGTTACTGGTGATCTATTTAATGATAACCCTCATCTCACAATGCAGCCAACAACCCTAACATGTACCTCTAGTTTCAGTACTATTTCAGCACTCCTGTCATGTGAGCTACAAAGCCACATGTTAAGAGCAAAGCAAATTTATATGGCTTCTTTTTTCCCCATAAAGGAGTCTGATCAGTTATAGGGCTCCTTTCATGAGCACATTTGCCAGTGAAAACATACTAGACAGTGTCAATGCAGTATAAGGATTGTATATAGTAACAGTTGAAGTATAATGAACAGGTTTTTCAAAAGTTATAAAATAATTTGAGATAATTGCAGGGTTTTTATTAGAAGCCAGGTCCTGGGTACCAGCACCCATCTCCTTTGAACAAAGTACCTGGCTACTCAAAGTACGAAATTTTTAAAAAAATCGTCAAGAAAAAATTATCAACCTCAATAAATATTAACTCTTCCCAGGATTAAAACCATTTTTCAGCACAAATTTACCAATAACTTGCCATCAGATCGTGGAAATAAAATTTACTTTGACGAGAAGGCTCTGCGCGATAATCACATTCTTCCTGAAGTGCTTGATTAGCTATTAAATAACTCATTTTTTTGGCTTTCAAAGCTTAAATATTCCGAGCAAGTGAAAGAAACTTGAAAAACTTTTTTCCAATTTAATTTTCTTTCAAGATTAAACCAAGAAATGCATTCAAGAACATATCAAAAATTTCAAATGTGAAAATCTACTTCAGCCTGTACTGACGCTGAAAATTTGCCAGTTACACCCTTTATCAGTTTACAAGTTTATGTTAGCTTGTTATTGTGAGAAAAAAGGAGGCTCTGACAACAACAGTAGTGTTTTGATGTAGCTAATATAGCGGTATAGTGAAATAAAAAAAAAAATTCCAGAGTATCATTCTTTTTTACTATAATTAGAATAAGTATGCGTCATAGCAAGATTTCTTTTCCAAATTGCAGGAAAATACACTTCTGGGAGCATTTTAAAAATTTCCCAAGGGAGCTTGAGAGGTTCGGGCCTTCGGCTCTCAATTTTACAGGGTGCCCTTCTACTTCAAAAGTTAATGAAAACTCTGTAATTGTATTGTTCAAGGACTCAAAGCATGTATTGTAAACACAACCCTGCTAAATATCCAGGGCTAGTTCAGTCAGAATCCATTTAACACCAAGGTTAATCTGACCACACCTAAAATTACACACAGCTGTCATGCTGGTTTAAATGTGAATTAGCCTGGTTGAACTTTGAAGAGCTCCCTTTCCCCTTTCCCCTTCCCCCCTTTTTTTTAAGTTTTATTTATGAGCAAAGTAAATGTTTGTACTCTTTACGTGTATGTACATCTGTCCATACATGTATTTAACACTGTGATTGCCCTTGAGATAGACAAACCAGTTGAATACACTGTATCTATGATGAAGTGTATACATCTTAAGTGTATGAACCTGAATTTGACTTGGCTTGGCTGCTTTAGTGTAGTTTGCTACCAAATGTTTAGTATTCCACAGAAGGACTGGATCTCTCACAATAAATACATAGTTTGTATTTTTATCCAGTCAAGTTCATTTACTTAGTAATAAATATTTTGAGGGTTTTTTTTGGGTCTTTTTACCAAATTTTTTTTTGGAAATGAGACAATATTTGTTTGGTTAGTGCCCATTACTGAAACAAATGTATTACTGTTAAAAGTGTTTCTCATCATTAAGTTAAAGTATTGTCATTCTTACATCAGGTTGCAATAAAAGTTATGAACAAGAAAGAACTTGGTGTAAGTACAATTATATAATTTTCTATCCATTAAAGGTCACTTCTGATCATATTTTAACACCTTTATGTATAACTGAGTCTCCAGAAGGAGTAACAGTACATGTTTCTCTCTGAACATCATATTTCTTGTAGCTTTCAAAAGTAAGCAAAGGAAGACAGTCGTAGATATACTCCTTTCTAGTGTATCTGTAGAATATCAGGCTTGCCTTTTTGTCCATTATTTAAATTTTTTTTGTCAGTGTTGTTGTTGTTGTTGTTGTTGTTGTTAATTATTATTATTATTTGTGTAATAATACAATGTAGGAGTAGCAATAATAGCAATATTCCTAAGCTATAGTGTGCTTTGCTCTACTCACAGCAGTGTAAGTCACTGTGGGTCAAATGGGCCAAGTTCTTAATTATAATTAATAGACCATTTTTTCTTACTGTATTATTTAGTCTGACCTGCCAAGAGTCCAACGCGAAATAGAGGCTCTAAAGAACCTTAGTCATCAACATGTGTGTCAGCTTTATCATGTCATCCAGACAGATGAATACATATTCATGGTCATGGAAGTATGTTCCTCTTAACTACATGTATTTTTGATATTTAATATATAACAATAATGACATATGCTTATCCAGTCTGTGTTAATTGCTGTGATGGCACATAATTCAGAGGTTGAATTGAAGGAATTCTATTTATGGTGTCAAATTACATGCCTTGAGTTTTAAAACAAACTAAATGACTGAAAATCATTGAAGAACACTTTTTCCAAGTCTGCATCTGGGAACATGCATAGCTAGTGGAAATTTGTTGGTACAGGATAATTTTTGAGGAAATGTGCTTGGATAATTATGAAGTTGGTATTTAGGAGAGTTGATTCTGCTTTTGAAAATGTCCTTTGATTAACTGATCGTCTGAATTTCATTATTTCAGTATGCCCCAGGTGGAGAATTGTTTGACTACATCGTAGCAAAGGATAGGCTCAAGGTAGAATATAAGTTAGACTGTAGTACCATGTTTTATTGTTAAGATTTTCTATTCTATGTACTCAAATATGAGCAGAAATGCTCATATTTTTTGTACTCATCCCAGGGTTTGAGCCAGGCTATGCCATTGTGCCAATCCTGCACTGCAATTGAAATTGTCCCTTAAAAAAACAGCCAAGGGGACAGTTTGTCCCCTTCAAAACTTAGGGAAAAACTTGAAAGGAAGCTCACACAAAGAGTTTTACTTCAGTACAGAAATTGCAAGCTAAAACAGGATGTGGAGAGTATCTTTTATCACACGTTTAAAGTTCATTCTAAAGTCACGTTTCAGTCATACTCTACTGCACATGCACGTCTCTTGCTCAACCAAGCATGGTGAACGCACCTGGCAATCTTTACTGCGCTTTTCACAAACATGGGAACTCTAAAGTTCAAAAGCCACTTTCACTATTGCATTTTTCGCCATCAATCATAATTACAATCACAAGCAATGAACCTTGAAATACAGAAACACACAAAAATAGATTGAAATCCACCAATCACAAATCACAAACAATCACCTTTTGAACCCGTCAAAGTTGTTCCTTAAAGGTCCATTAAGATGATTGACAGCAGCAAAAAACACAATCGTTGAAAATGCAGAATTGAATGAAACTTTGTTAGAGAGCATTACCCTGTGAGCCACATTGCTGAACTATGGAAAATGCTCACTACCCATCATAGCAATGAGGTCCAAAATTTAATTTAGCTTTGTCAAGTCGCACTTGTATTGCCTACTAATATGGCTGGCTGTGAACGAGGTTTTAGGGCACAGAATTGAATCAAGAATGCTTTGAGAAACAGATTGAAAGCTGAGAGGCTGGATGTGTGCATGACTATTGACATTGAGGGGCCACCTTTCAAGGACTTGACTTTTCTACAGCCCTTGATGTTTGGGCTAGAACAAAAATAAGAATTAGTACATGTACATCAACTCGTTAAGAAAGGAATTGAAATTTACAAGGGGATGCCAGGACGAGATTCTGCTGTGTAAAGCAGTCATTGATCCTCTGTTTAAATATGATGTGAGAAAAAAAAGTCTTGACACCAATAACTTAACATCCTAATATGAGCAGAAATGCAATTATTTGAAATTTTGGAGTTACTGTACTGTATGTTATATTTAATTAGGCCTCCTACCTCATTCCATGCCCAATCCCTTTCCTCTCTCCCTTGAAGTTTGTTAGTGGACTCTTCAACCCAGTCTCTCCCCAATCTATGTGGGGGCTTAATGAACTGTGTGGGAGACTTGTAATTCCCTTTTCAGGAAGCACTCCTGCAAATGATTTTCTTAGAGTTGGTTAATACTTTTAATTAATTAAAAAACAGAGTCAATTTGAAAATATTTTTCATATTTTTTGGTTTTTCAGTATATTGAGTGTGATGTGTTAGTTGCTAATTTATTATATTAGTTCAGGAAGTAAAGTAAGAGCTGTCACATAAGTTATTTGGCATTTTTTATTATTTGTTTATTCATTAAATTATTTTCTGTATTTTTAAGGAGGAAGAAGCCAGAGGGTTTTTCAGACAGATTGTTTCAGCAGTGGCTTACATCCATGACAGAGGATATGCTCATCGAGATCTTAAACCGGTGAGATAATCTTTTTTCTTTGAAATGAGGAGATTTAAATTGGTAAGCTCTCAGACAATTCTGTACATGTAGTCAATTAGTAATCTTTGAATAAGATGTTAGGTTTTACAAATAGTACATGTTTATTAAATCAGTTGTGGGTTTTTTTTTTTCTAACTTTTTTTTTTTCATCCTGATCTTGTGTGATATACTTATGTATTCTGACTGAAATGGCAAGTAAAGAACTTATCCAGTAACTTACAAGTTTTTGTATTATTGTTTGTCATTCAGGAAAATCTGCTTCTTGACGAGGATCAGGTAATACACAGGAGTTCCATGAAATAAAACTTTCTTAGAGTTCTAAGATGAAATACCTCAAGTTTTACCCATACAGTGAATAATAGGATTTTGAATAATCAGAGTGCGTGTGGTAATTCAGCTTTTCCTAGATCATGTGAAAAAGAAGACCAATAAAAAACATGCCTTCTCTTATACACACACAAGCAAAACAATTTATGTTGTGCACTATGTTGAGAGCATGAATTTCTTCTTGATCCAAGTTATTGTTTTTCTTTGTGCAGAATATCAAGCTTATTGACTTTGGTTTAGTTGCCAAACCAAGAGGTGGAATGACTGATCATTTAGACACATGTTGTGGATCTCCCGCATATGCTGCTCCTGGTGGGTCATTGTGCATAAATATAGACATAGTCTACCCCTGAGAGTACGAGTTACAGGTGGCAGTAGACTGCCACTAACTGGATTTAGTTGAAAACCCTTCTTAAAGCAGCTGGAAGGCCCTGCCACAAGTAGTGCCTCTTTATCGTAAGACCAGCTATGATTTGCATGTTTTTCTCTAGAATAAACATACTTTGGGTTAAGTTTCCCTTGGTAATTACAGTGTAACATAAAGTTGGTTGGTGAGGCCCAAGAAAATTAAAGAAACAAAACCAAACAAAATAAAAAGCTGCACATTATACCAGATCTACATTTGTGTACATGTACCTGTAAATGCAAATTACATGTTAACTAGAAAAAAATATATATCACAGCAGTTTTTGATGAAATTTAGACGAGACACAAGAGTTTAGAATAACTGAATAATGTTCTCTGTGTCTGAATAAAAAAAAAAAAGAGAAAAAAATAGCTCCAGCCATCAATCGATAATGCATGTGTAGATAAAGAATGCCCTAAATATAATTTACATTGTAACTTCTTCAACTATATGGCAAAACTTTTCTTTGCAGAACTTATATCTGGCTTTCCTTATCATGGGAATGAGGTAAGAGCTGCTTTTTTAATGCATATTCTTCACTCAATGAACACCTGGGATGGTTTGATTAATTTTCCTTTTGGTTTCCTCAAAGGTTGATCTGTGGAGCATGGGAGTGCTATTGTATGCTCTTCTTTGCGGCTTCTTGCCATTTGATGATGATAACACATTTAAGCTGTACAAGCTCATTCAGGTTTGGAAACCATGGTTATTAATTTTAGACTTAGAGCTGTTTAATTAAGGTTAATTAAGTACGATAGATGTTCAGTTTTAAAACCCATATTAGCTTTCTTTTTGTTAAAATTGTATTTTAATTGATTTTTCAGAAAGGAGAGTATGAGGTTCCAGACTGGCTTTCACCAGGTAGTTATGTAGGATCTTTTCATGGGCAAATTCTTCTCCTTTGCACTTTGTTTTTGCATGATTTTACTTGGAGATTTAATTTGCAAAGGTTCTAGGACCTATGGAGTCTAAATCAGTTCATTATCCCAAAAAAGTGAGTCATAAATTGGGCACCTGTATTATGGTGTTGTGATTTTGTGCATCTTTGGTATAATTACAGACCATAAATTGGACTCCACTAGGTCCATTACCATATAACAGTCAGAAACATTTATATTTGTTACAATGTATATCAAGCAAGGGTAATAAGTGACAGATAGTTTTTTTTTTCAAATTCTTTGGAAATACACTCTACTTTGCAACAAAGGGACTATGGGGATATCTTTCCAATGTTATAAGTTACACTGTTTAGTGTGCTAACAAGGCAGATGAACTCAAAAGGAAAAAAAAAAAAGATAACTGGATAATATACTGTGGAAGAAGTGATTGTTAACTAGTCAGTAAATGTTGTGTGTGGATGTTTATCCTGTACACCACAAAAAAGGGAATATACATATAATCAGTAAGTGATTTACCCCTGTCAGTATTAATATGACTGGTTAACCCTTCAACTCCTGTGAGTGACCAAGACACAATTTCTCCTTACAATATCAATACAATATCAAACAGACAAGCAACGAGAATAAAGAAAAATATCAATTCGGGGATTATAAGTTGATCCAATAGCAAATTCTTAAAACTAACATCACAAGAACTGTATGGCAGACAGTAAGGAGAATTACTTATGAGATCTTGGGAGTTAAAGGGTTAAGTAAGTTAAGTATTTCTTTTTTCATCTTTTTACTTTTGCTTTGTTTTGGTTGCACAGTGTATATAAGATATTTAGCAAGTGTTTACTAGAGATCTAATACTTGTACTTGTGTTAACATTTTACATGTACTTTTGGTTTTCAGGTAGTGCAAAAATTTTGAGCCAGTTGTTACAGGTGAGTTCACCATTTAAATCATCAGCAAATCTTATCAATGATTTCATTCACTTTACTTCTGTCAGTGCTGAATAAAATAAAATGTGCTAGCAATCTCAATTGTTCATGGCCTTTGAATTAAATAGCAGAGGTTGAGAAGTTAAGTTTGTGCTGTTTGACATGTGCCCTAACATTCTGCCATATTTAGCCTCTGTTGAATTTTAAAAAAATTAAACCATAATTATGATATTTATTTAATTTTATACAGTAATTGTATATACTGTATAGATTAGAATCAACTTGCTGTTGGGGTTGCCTTAATTTACTTAGCTATCAACAATTTGTTTGTTATTGATTTTTGTTTTGTTGCAAAAATGTTGAGAAAAAAAAAAATTGGAAATTTCTCTTCTTTTTCTCTTCAGGTTGATCCCAAGAAAAGAGTCACTATAAAGCAACTGTTAAACCATGAATGGATGATGAAAGGTTATGCTGCACCTGTCAGATGGATAAGTCGCATAAAGGTTTGTACTTTTCCAACATTAAAAGCACAACTTCATGTGAAAGTTGAAGGTGAACTATAACTCTGTTAGTTTTACTTAAGTGTGGTTTGTGTTTCGTGCAGAAAACTTGCACTGAACTTGATTAATCAGACAGAAAACTGAGATCAAAGACAAACTGGTCAAGTATATTTTCCAGCATTAAGACATTTTGCTTGTTTTTTACTTTGAGCTTTCATTGCTTTCTGTTTTGACTTGCCATTGTGATCACCCAAGGTTTCAGTTTTTCAAAGCTCAAATTGAAATGTGCTTTTGTGAATTGATTAACCGTTTGTTATTGTGTATTTACATCACACAGTTTCTACTGTAGCAAAGACTTTCAGTTAGAACTATGAATGTAATTTCTCTATAGAAAGATAAACCTGACCATGATGTTCTTCAAGAACTTGCATCATATTATGACATGCCTGTGGATTCCCTGTTGAAGAATTTATTGGAGGTACATTTACAAGTAAATTGTCTTCTCATGCATACGTATGCGTGTTAGCAGAAATTGCCTTTTAACCCTTTACACCCAACATCAGTATGCATATTCTCCATACTGTTCTCTATACATTTCCTAAGGTGCTGACAAGGAGAATTTGTTTAACAATCAAGAGCTTCTTTAGTTGGTGATCATTTCTCTTATTCTCGTGACCTCAGTTTTTGATTCAGGGGTGATATTATTAGGAGAAATTAGATGCTAGGTGCTCTCAGGGGTCAAAGGGCTACAGGATTTAACTTCAAGTTATTTATGAAGGTGCTGTTTTGTTTTTAGTGGAAGTACGATGAATTGACTGCCTTGTATTTCCTGCTCTGTAAGAAGAAAAGCAAGGGTCAACTGCAAGAACTACTGCCGAGATACTCCAAGTAAGAGTCTTGCGAAATGTAACTGAAATTGTAAAGAGTAATATTGAGCATTATGAATTCAATCTCAAAGTTGTAAAATTGGTTCTATTTTTGAATTATTTTTTAATCAACAGATGTGTTTATAGAATTACTATTTTTCTGCAGGGCCAAGACACGAAAGAGGCTTGAGAGTAAAGAAAATGAGGTACAGTTCAAAGCAAGCATGCTTGTGTCATTGGATAAGAAACAAATAAACAAAAGAGATCAGAACAACAACAGCAGGAAACTACGGCTTTTAATGGTCTAATGATTATCAGATATTGTTTCAAATGGCTGTTAATGGAGTTGTGAACCAAGGGATGTTTGACTGTAGAATGTACTGATTAGAGATAGTTGATGTGATCTTCAAAATTTTTTTTCTTAGCATCCCAATGTACTCAAGAAAGAAAACACAGAATACATTCTCCCCCCACCCAAACCAGTGCCTTACTCTGAGCATCAGGCCAGAAAGTCCAAAGTTAACAAGGCGGAACCTTGCATGGAGCCTACAACAAGGAAGACCAGAGCTGGGACCTTACCTTCCAGTGTTCCCTCGACACCTACCAAGAAGGAAGCCACAGAGATGCCTCCACCGTTAGCTCCAATTACCCCACGCGTCAAGAAAACACCTGCAAGAGGTATACATGAATGTCCAAATGCTCAAGATAAGTGAAACGTTCTGTCGCTCTTGCACGCCAATTTTAAAAGCTCTGGAATTGTTTTAGAGCTGCGAGAGGGTTTGCGGTGCCTTTTATCAAAGAACGCCTGAGTCTTGTGAAAATTGTACCAGAGATATACATAGAATGTTTTGCTGTATAGAAAAGAGATCGTGCGTCAAGTGTTATGATTCTTCTTTCAAGAATGAAGTCGCTTTCTCGATTAACTCTTTGGTCCGTTTGAAACTTGAGTTTTGAGTCGCGATTGTCAGTTTACAACGTTTCTTTAAATGCATGAATACACTGAACTTCCAGAAAACCAATCTGAAAAGGCCCCTTTCTTTATACCAACGCAGAATGGCAAGAGCTCTTGTAAAGGTGTATACGCTTTCTCTGCCGGCGTGAGATATGTGTTTTTAGGGAAGGCAAAGCAGAAAGTTTTAAAAAATCCGAAATTTCTTTGTCTTCCTTATAACTCTGTGCGTTGTTTTGTTTAACCTTTGTTTATTTTGTTTGTCGTTTTAAAGGTGCTGCAGCAGATATACCCATGTCACACTCAGATTATGATTTTGGTAACAACAACTTAACACCAATATCTCAGTCAAAAATGTAAGTCCGTTATTCAAGGTATTACAGTTCTGTTTTTGGCAATTTTTATTGAAACTAAATCGTTGGAAATTTTCATGCACTAAGGTAGGAGATGGATATTACATTGATTTCACTTTGAGTGGAGTGCTCAAGCTTGAATGTATTTCAGAAGGCAGTTTCCTTTGAGAAGTGATATGAGGGAGGGAGGGGGAAGATCAGCTTCTTCGTGAGGCCAGCGAAACTTCTATCGCAAGCTGTATAAGTGAAAGGAATGAAAACTGATAGAAACATTAATTACCGTGCATGTAGGTGGTCACAATCACTGGACACAAACTTGGATAAAGCCACGTCCAGAAGAACGCCGTTCAAGTCTCCATTCACTATCGGAAGGAAGAGATTCGGTTCAGTGGACACACCCTCTAGTGCCAGCAAATGGAGTTCAAGGGTTGGTATTCTGTTAGAAAAGTTTAGGAGAGAGGTTAGATGCAAGTAAATTGTTTATCTTGTTCTAGGCAGTGCTATACTAAAGGTACTCACATTGGTTGAGTAGCTTCAGTTCTGGCTCTATGGATTTCAAGTTAAGAGTAGTTTGTTAGATTCTGGCGTGCCCCTTTGGGAATTTCTGTAGCGAGCGAATGAATTTTTAAAAAAGTGCTGACTGATGTTTTCATAAAGTTTCTCTTGGAGGAACAACTATTGCATCGACAGTTTTATATTAGCGATAATTGCCTAATCTTTCCATTGAAGTCAGTAACATTAACCTGTGCGATGCAATCATGTTCACATTTATGGGTGTAAGAAATTTCAATTGTAACTTCACAGAGAACATTTGTGGTAACTTTGAAGGAAAGAAATCTGAAGTAAAGAAATTTCACCTACATGCACCTCCACAGGGACAATTTATGGTAACTTTGAAGTCTTACTAGCTGTCTTTCGCTCTGTAGGGCATCATGGGCAGTATTGAAGATAGTCTGAACAGAATTGTGGAGGCAATCACTCCGAGAGGTCTTGGGGGGCATGGACCGAGAAAGGTTAAGGTAAGTTTGCTTCCTCAGGAACAACTGAGCACGTGCACGAAAAGGAATCGTTTGTACCCGTTGAGCTTCGAAGTGCGTCCTTTTTTGCACCTTAAAAAGTTTAAAGGCTTAAGTGCACTCAAACTTCTAAAGTATCAGGAGCTAAGGAAATTCAAACTAATGTAAGATATTATACAAGTTTATCACAGTTGTTAAACTTTTAATCTTTTCGATCGATATTTAGACTAACTCAGACCTCTAGAACTTTTAAAACCCCCATGTCTTTCATAGGGACTTACCATGTTGAGTGAATAGTCACGTGATAAAGTCTCGTAAAAAGATCGATTACAAAACGATTTGAGAGAGCTGTACTCAGGAACCCAAGTATCAAATGAAGAGCAGTGTAAACATTACGTAACTACGCAAACTGAAGTTTCGCTTTGTGTGTAGGAATTGTCATAGATATGTTGTTATTCGTTGAATTAACCTTTATTCGTGTACACGCTTTTTCTCCTGACAGGCTCTGTATAACGTGTCTTCAACTTCGACCAGAAGCTCAGATGAAGTTCTCGACGAGCTAAAACGAGTTTTGGAAGGAAGAGACATCCTCTTCAAAGAAAAAGGGTGTGTATATGAGGTCCTCTCGCTATCTGAGTGCTCAATGATCCAAATGTAAAAAATAGATAGAAATGGTTGTCGAAAGTTATCTGGAATGACGCTCTGAATTGGCCAAAAAGAACTCACGCCTTTCTCAAAACAAGGTAGATGTACAGTAAATTAGTGTTAACAATTCGTTGAAAACCGTAAATTGGCCACCGTAAAGGGAAAAAAAGCTGATCGCTCTGACGAAGGGCTAACGCTCGAAACATCAGCTTTTTTACCCTTTACTGTGGCCAATTTACGTTTCCAACTCAGTTGTTAACACTAAATTACCTGCTATATTCTCCCACCGGCGCAGCACCACAGCTTCTCTAGAAACTTGCCCCCTTTATTTAGATGTACAGTAAGACTCGCACCGGACGAGACCGAGTTCTTAGCGTTTTCTCGCGCACGAGACATGTTATGTTTTCGTTTGCCCTGGGACTCTATGGCTCTAGTTTTGCAACGCGAGGTCGAAGAGTGCTCGATTGTCCACATGCATATCGCTCTATAATTTCCGTTTTTTTTCCCTCTCTTCTGTGCAGGTATACTCTCCGATGCAAATCAATAGACGAAAGAGGAAAAGTCCTCCTCGAATTCGAAATGGAAGTTTGTCTTATTCCCAAAATGGAAATGATAGGTATGTAATCACAAATCCTCCTTTCTCATTATGAACAGCAGCAATGTACATGAATGATCGATTATCACATCATCTCTGCCGCTTCGCTCGCCCAACCGAAAATCTTAATTCACATACATGGGGATTTCGTAGATCGCAAGCGAATGTCTTCGAGTAAAGTTAAGTATTAAATTTGATATTGTAATCATTTTCGAAACGCATAAAATTACTTAATTTTGAAGGTCAATTTTATCGTGAAGTGAAGTATATGTAGTAAGTTCCTCTTGGAAACAGTATTTGTAGGTAAGTTATGAAATAAGGAGAACGTTATGAGAAATCTTCACTTTGAATGTTTCAAGTCTTGCATTGAACACCGATTGAGAATGCTTTTGTATTAAACACATGCAGGTATACGCCGAAAGCGTATGAAGGGAGACACGTGGGCTTACAAGAAAATCTGCGAAGAACTCTTGTCTTCAGCGAAGCTCTGAGCAACCCACTACAGTGAGCTGTGGTTGAAGGAGTCCTGGAAACGGTGGATTGGAATGGAAATTAGCCACAAAATTAAATTTTGCTATCATGTTTCATTTGATGACACACCATGGTTTGCCACTGTAAATAATAGTATTTTACAGTTTTAGTATTTGCTAGTATGGAATCAATATCAATATTTTCATGGTGAACTTTCGGCTGTAAATGATTATCATTGGTGGTTCCCTGAAGCGAATAACTGCAGTTGGAAAAGTCATGCAGAGTTTTGGTTGAATATGTGTATCAGTCGAGATTATGAATTAGTCTTATTGTAAATACACGTTACAGTTAGCTGTAAGGGAGAACTACATTACTGAATGACAGCTGAGTGACAAACGATTGAAGTTGGACTTTAGGAATTGGTGGGGGTAGGCTAAAAGAGCTTTCCATTTGTCTCCATAATAGAATTCACCTTTTGCACACGCGTCGTTAAAAGTCTCGGGTATGTCTCCTCATTTCGGGCGATGTTCAGTCTGGTTATCTAAATACATGAATGGGAGATAAATCTCAACATGATGGCCATCATGTGAGTCAAAGGTGCTCAGGGTTTGAGAAACGCTTCTTCCCCTAAAAAAGACTGCTCTCTGTGCACCTTAGCAACCCGACCACGATAATACCGTCGCGTGTTTGCCAACTTCCCTCGTGCGCACCCTTAGCAACACGCGCTGGTTTCACAGATCCCAAGTTACATGTACCTTTTCATTTGTTGGTTGAGAGCGAAGGTATATATTAAGATTTAACGAGGAACTTCTCAGTTCAGTTCGTTGCTGCAGCAACCATTGTAAAGTTCAACTAAGATTAATTTGAGATTCTTTTAACTGGAATATTTCTACGTGTTAGAAATCGTTACTTAGTATAATTGAATCAAATTTTGCGCTAATTACAATGGAGAAATTTGGGTAAAGGTAAATTTAAGAGAACTAATTGATAATTGAAATTTTATCTTGCAAATAAATGTAATTCAACATAACCGCGACTCTTGTTTTCCTTAAATGTTCATGTAGCAAGTAACCGTGTGAATAAACTTTTTGTGTTCCAGAAACAAAGGTAAAACGATTTTGAGAACAACCCTCGTGTGTTATCGCTTGGGGAGCTTGTATGCGATTGGTTTTTTCTCACTGAACACAGCAAGTCTAGAGGTGAACTATCGACCACTATGAGTAAGAGAGGTGGTAAACTATGAGCTCGGGTTTCCCTTTGTGAAGAATAAATATATGCCACACAGGCGAATATTGCCTTTCGCACGCGCTGATTGGGTAGTGCAGGTTAATGAAGTATTACCAACTGAGTTGATAACGCCACCGTAAAGAGTTTGAAAGCAGACTTTTCGAGCGTTAGCCCTTCGTCAGAGCTAATGGAGTGGGTGTGTGTGTGTGTGTGTGTTTATTTGCAGAAAATGGAGCTGCGTTTTTGGTGGGATTATGGCGGCGAGAAAACAAGAACAACTCAGTTGAATGCAAAGTGCTCATTGATATCTTAGGATTTAGAGAGCCGATTTGAAAGATGAATTTTGTTCAAGAGTTTTGCAGGTTTTCGAACCACCTAGATGTGGGGAAAGGCTGCAAACTATCATACTTATACAGAAATGATCAGAGAGTAATATTCATAAATTTTCAAGTCCGGTTATCAGCTCATTCCGAATCACCCAATGTGGCAATACACTGCGCCATCTGTTGCGGAGCTGAAAAAAAGATGCAAATATTCAAACGTTCAGGATATGATGAAGTTTAATAAAACAATTATATATCTTCGAGCAGCCGAAGAGATAAAATCGCGCGTCAACAGTTAACTTTCCGATCAATTTTCGTTTAACTGATCTTTGCTTTTTGTGTGGTATGTACTTGAACTGACAATTATCGTTTTGCCGCGAGCATACACGAAGACAAGATTTAAGATATGTGGATTTTGCATTTCGATGTGCGACCACAATGTTAGAGTGTTCTGCATTCAGGCTCAGCCGTCGAATAAAAACAGATATTCGTTCACACATGTATTAAAAGAGAACGATTCCAGCTTTATAATTTTTTACTACCTTCAAATTACCCGACTAACAATGTCTATTGACACATTTCATTCTTGATCTTTTAACATGTAACACAGCCAATAAAGGTAGGTTAAAGAATTCCATACGGTACTCTAGAATATTAGATACATCCTGTAGTTAGGGAGGAACTGCATTCTACTCATCTCTGAAGAAAAATGATCAAATTATATTGGAGCTTAGCATATTTCTTAGCGAGCCAGAAATACTTGAAGTTTCTTCTCCCAAGGTGTTTGAAATCAGTGTAGAAATATGTTTGTTTTCAATTTCCAGGCCAGACTGGCAAAACGACCGCGGCTGAAAAACTATGAATTGCTCGGATACTTTTCGAAAATTCGATTTGGCAAACACATCTAATTTCTTATGTAAATCTTCTGTTGTTAATTTTCAATCGCTCAGTAAATTATACCAGATGAAGCATGGCCAATATTGCATCTACCTTTTATCTTGCGATAGCAGGAGTACACAGAGAAAAATATATTGCCTTTGTATTTTTTTACACCGATATCAGGATAGAATTCTTAGAAATCCATACGATTAACCATATTTGTATATGCGCACTCAATATATTGATCGATAAAAATATGCTGGAAAGTAAAAACACAGGAAATTGACGCCAGCAAGTAATAAAATAATATGTCTTATTGAAATTTCCTCCTAAATTTGCTTATAATAAGAATCAAACTGGAATCATTTGTTTGCCCCAATTATGATTTTTATTTGCGCAACGTTTCGACAGCGTTGCGATTTATCATCGGGAAACAGAGTAAACGAGAATCTAGCGGATTTAGCAGAGATACAAGAGATTAAAGTGGGTAAGAAGGACTAATTATTTGTTTGACTATTTGCCGCGACACAAGTGAGCGCACGATTTGTGTATTCTTTGCAGTATTTCAAAAAGCAATTACATTTGTCCTCAATCGAGTCGTGCAGTTTATTGAAAACAAGACAACAATGAACAGAAAAATAAATCGCGATATCAGAGCCTACCAACGGTGCACTTTGAATCGCGTGGTTTTCTCAGCTGTTCTTTTGAACTTATCGAAAAGCGAATCGTGATTAGCATATTGTTCTTCTCTGTTTACAGTAAGGATCTTGAGTTGCTTCTTGTTTTGAATAACTTCCGATCGAGATACAGCATTTTATCCCTGACAGTTCGCACGCTTCAACATGCCCCCCAAAATTCCTTTGCGACATCGAAAACAGTTTTGATCATGTGTTTGATTCATTGCAAACAGACAAGGAATTAAAAATGTATCTCCTTAATGCACGTCTTAAATTTATGTTTTCCTTTTTCTCTCGCTGAAGGCCCACGCTTTTCCGTTATCAATTCCTAGTTAAGAATGATGATCTCTGAAATTGGTAATTAAATCGCACATTTCTTTTAGGAAATTTGCGCTCTTTTTTTCTGCATTGACAAATCTTTTCATTTCCCAATTCAGAGATCCACCACGGCCGGATGCGTTCTTTTTTAGACTTTGGTGAGCACTCTTTGTACGTGAGGAGATTAGTTTCGCTCGTTTACCGTCACTTGTTCAAATTTAAATGGTGTCATTTTACCTGTCTGTCGATGCTTCTCTTACTTGAGGTATAAACACAATTCACTAGGTTGTATTTACAATCAAGCTTCTTTACAGCATTTTTAAATCGTGCAAGATGTAGGTTGTTGCTAGGAACTTTCGATACTGCCTTAAACTCACACCTCGTGTCTCAATTTCCCTTTCCATTTGCTCACAAATCGCATGCCTTCTGTTCTCTGGTTTTACTAAGCTAACCAATCGCTGGAAAGCCGAAGAACGCCTCCTCTTTTGCGACTCTGTTTGCTTTATTTGCGAAAGCTCTTCAACTTCGTCTTCCTCTGTAATCTCCACAGTAACGTTTTCCTTACAAACGGATGCTTCAGGAGAGGCGCACTCACTCTGTAAAGGTGCGCCCTTTGGGGTCTTGCTGCAGTTCTCATGATCCGCATCGAGGCAGTCGTATGAGATCTTTTTCTTCGAAGTCGCTTCGAAGTGGGCTTGCGATTCACTGAATTCACTGTTATCCGTGTTCTTCTGAACTCTCTTGTAGCAAAAGGGTCGGTGAATCTTGGACAAGAATCGCTCCCTCAATCGTCGAAACCTTTCCGCCATCGAGTGAGAACAACTGAAAACTTGTGTGCTATGTAGTTGAAGCCGTAATCAAAGACGCAGTAGATTAAAGACTGTAGGCAATGCAATTTATCCACTGCAAAAGAAATATTGCGCACTGTTGTGATATGAAAGGATGATTAGTGTGCTGATGCTTTGTTCGAGAGAGCGATTGTTACGTAAATCCGCCCACTGGAAAATGAATTAAAATCCTCCTTGCTACTGATCAAAAGAAGTCTGTTTCGATAAGAGCAACCGCTTGAGGCGGAAAGCCGCTTGAAAACTGTACGGGTTCACGAAATGATGTGTCGTGTTTGTTTGTCTTTAAGTCTTTTCGGCTGAAAACGTGACCTGGAAAGCTAATATGACATCTAATGGCGTTAAAAAACAGGTAAATATTGGCACAAATGTGCGTCACCTCTTGTATTTACATGCCCATGATGTCAGGTAAATAAAAGCGTGAAGTCTGCTCGAGCTATAAACTGGGTGGAGAAAATGGTATTTATGATTGAAAGCAAATTTTTAATGTTCTTGTTTGAGACTGCCTTTGTTCTCTGTTGACGCAATATTATTATTATTATCATCGTTCAGTTTAGTTTATCCATTTGTGAGGGATATGTTTCAGTACAAGTGTTTGTATCAATGTAAATCAAATTTGTCAGCCCATCAAAGCTGACTTCATATTCACATCCACGATTGTCACTTTTGTAAATAGATAGCAAATCTCTATTTCTACTGGGATTATAACTCTTTTTTACTATTAATCCCGAGTTATTTCAATCAATGGAGACCAACACATATTCAATCGTCATTTAGGAAACTAGCAAAGTGACACATTGTTTATTTTATACGAGGATTAGAACTCTTTCTTGAATTGATCCCGAGTTATTTCAATCAATGGAACACAACTCATATTCAATCATCATTTAGGAAACTAGCAAAGTGACACATTATTCATAGATGTTATCTGCTAATGGGGAAAAAACACTTACTTCTTTCACGAGGTAAATTTCCTGTTAAAAATTCACCAAAGGAACAGATTTACTTTATCTGATGCACCGGGAAAGAGAGTTTTTTTTTTCTCCTACTCTCTATGATTTGAATTTGACTTAAACTTGAAATTTGATTAGTTTCCTTTGGGTATTTTTTTATGCAAAGAGTCGAGCCGAAATTACTTAAATTTGAATTTGTGCACTATCGAACTTTCCGAGCACTTTCCTGATATCTTTCTGACGTCAGGAAGATATCGTGAATAACGAAGAGTTGATAATTCGTCAATTGTCGAGATACTAGCTCAAAGCCTTTAAGACGATCGTACTTTGAAAATATTGTTAAAAAAATGTCGTTCACGTCACTTTCGTCAAGATATCGGCCTGTTTAAAATGTACGTTCTAAGAAGAGCGTGATCTTCATTACAGTAGGTAGCAAAGCCAAATTGTCTTTGCACAATCGAATACCTATTTAAAAATTCATGATTCAACGAAAAGCGAGATGAGTAGTTCTTGCCAATTGAAAATTCAAGCCTCACCGGTTTGAGTATCGTCTTGGACATCACTTGACGGGGTACCGGGGATTTTTTTCTTTGCAACAATCAATATTGAATTTTAGTGATAAATTGTGAAGTCACATTGACAGTGTGTCTCATTCTTTTAAGAAAGACTTCATTCGTGTGTTGATTGTTTTATCTCAATTTTCATGTTTATTCATTTTAATTTTCTTTTCAACGGTATGCTAAAGAAAGCAACTGAGAAGATAGGACCAGAAAATGAAACAATCTGCCACAAAAATGATGCCATCATGAAAGTCAATTCAGCGACCTACTGATGCGGCGTCTTTTTAAACAGTCGAATTTGTAGGCTTTAAAAATTCCGGGAAATCATCTCGAGGAGAGTGCCTCAGTGTCCTTCGATTTTCATACGTGTACACAACAACGACTTTGTCAGTTGTGTTGTCTTTCTCTTAGAGATGGGTTACTACTTGCTTTTTTATTCATCATGGGAACTTCGTAATATTCAAACCTTTGCATTACAGTATCTGGAATTATGACCTCGTAAATTGGAATCAATGATTTCATCTAATCACACGCCCAACTTACACCACTTAATCGGTCGTGTTTTTCCAAGCGTTAACAAGGCGTATTTTCTTTGATTTCTCACTGGTTCCTTTCTGTGTTAACCTTTCTTCTGATCGGCTTATGGCCTTTCTGATCGCTGATTGTGTGGTTTCTTGTGTTGGAATGACCGATAGAAGTTCGCTCTAATTGGGCTTTCCCCGACTACGCTTGACTACTACTTTGTGTGATCCTTCTTGCAGAAATTCATAAATTGGCACTTGGGCCTGCATAACAACTTTATTTACCTGAGACCGACAAACTAAAACCTTCTGACGCATTGGTTAGCAACTTAAAATAAAACAATCTTCAATTGAGCGTCAATTCCCTTACTTCGCTCTCACAGTGACCGGTTCAGAAAGATCGCACCACGTGCAATATCTAAACCAGTCAGATGCAAAACTTCAAGGAATTACGACTTGGTCGACCGCATTTACCCGCGATTTAGGCAGTTTGGAAGGTTTTATTTTGAGTTTTCATTGTTTCTTGAAGGTAATTTCCTCTCTTCTGATCACAGCGGCCGTTGTGATTACGTTTGGTTTTACGTCGCTCAATCAAAAAGCGCTCTAAAGATGCCATTCAGAATGATTAAAATTCCTTCAAGGAATATTTTAATAGATGAAAATTTACTAACCGACCAGCTTCCTTTCGTTTTCCAAGGGCATAAATGTCGTATTCAATTGTCACCCTCACAAATTCAACCCCCCCCCCTCCCTTGTATCTCATTTCCATATATTAGCCTTCAGGCGAAATTACTTAGCAATTTATGTGTCCAATCATTTGGTTCGCAGATGTTCGGCTTTGCCATAACAAAAACACTTTAACTCATTTTGCCGAGCACAAGTCCTCGAGAGCACAATCTGTTGAAATTCTGCATTCATAAGATACTTTGCTTGTGAAACTTTCTCCTCCTTTTTACTTGGGACGATCAAAATCTAGAGACCAAGTGTTCATTTACACATATTTTTCTTTTAGTTTTTCTTTTAGTTCAATGGATTGTTTGAAACTCTTTCTTAAGCGAACAATACTTAAAGAAAATACCTTGAGGACATGGTTCTCTGAGAGAACACACTTTCTCTCTGCGGGAACTGGCTCCCACGCATAATGTGGGAAAATGTCGCAAAATTTCTTGAAACGAATATCTCCATCGATCTGGTGTAAATACAGATGCACGGGACAACCAAGAGCGACGTTCGCTTTGTGCTTTGTCTACTGTGAGGCATAATTTTTAGGAGTTGCCGGTTAATTCCGAATGGTGGTCCACGACCGCGCAGCTTATACTCCTACTTAGGGCTCCAACGGCTAAAGTCAATAGTTCAAATTCCCAGTTCTGATGCCCAACTAAATTCAACATTTATTACAACCCCTCCGTCTGTAGAATTCAGCGAAAAATCTGAATAACTAATCTATCTTCAACCCTTCGTCGAGAGCACAATCTGTTTTTGATCATTTTAAGGAGCACTTCAACCCTTCTGCATACAAAGTTACAAAGTATAGTCGAGTAGGAAAACAGAAGAAGGTCCTAAGAACACTTTAACATTTCGCTGTAGATACAACTTCCGTGTAGCTGCAGAGGAAGTCTTAGCGGATCGAGTAGCCTTTGATCGTAGGTTCCGTTGTCTCCGAGAAATGTAAATTATTTCAGTGTCTAACCAACCCGCACCGAAATATTTCTTCTAAGGAGGAGATCGTTCTACGTTTTTAAGCTTTTGGTTCGCTAAAATTGATGTAGTAGAATCCTCCGAACACAGTTTTGAAGGAAAGTTGTCGGAATTACTATAATGCGAATGCTTGCCAAACCACTCAATTCTCTCCTTAAGAGTCATATGCCGAATGCCCTTAAGGAAGGTTTCGATGGACTGTTTTCGACGTATCTCACATGGGTTTGTTAAGATTTATTTTTGGGATTCAAGAAGGTTTTTACTTGATCTAACTTGTTTTTTTCAAGGATATGCTTTAAGGAACGCCGGCTGCAATATTCAGGTGTGATAAAGGATCTAGTCATTAACTGCATTCTACACCGACAGAATAATAATTGGCTATCTCTTATTATAATGAAATGATTCCCCCGGCAAAATTGTTCTAGCCGCCATGTCTGGTTGTTTGGAGTGCGTATTGTGGCTCAAGAGATAAACAGTCCGACATTTACATTTCTCTCCAGCCTTTTATGCTAACATCTAAATTTTTTTTTTTACTTAGAAGAACGAAGTAAACATTACACGGCGACATCTGGCCGCCAACTACTGAGCTCGGTCTCTCCAATTTCCCAGCGCATCATAAACAGCCTTAACTTTATAGACGAGGCTATATTTTCATTATTTCACGTCTTGCTGCCATCCATAATTAGTATTGGGACGCAAGAACAAACTTTATTTGTCTAACATGGTCGCCGCTATGTAGCTGACCGTATAATGAATGCGGCAGTTTTTCTATCTCTGTGTCGGTATCGCAAAGGCTCCTTGCAAATCGGATACTTGGGCAAAATGCTTTATTTCAAAATCCGTTCTCCTAATTTTGTTGTTTCAGTCTGTTTCTTTCCACCATTTCATCAGATATAGTAACTACATTAAGGAGAAAATTTCATCCACAGACGACATGTCTAAAATTTGAATCAGATTCCAAATTTCTTCTGCACTTAACGCCACTCTTAACATTGTAGAATAAAAAATTCCTCTCTGAAAACCTTATCGAGTAGATTAATATCTAACGATAAAGAAAAAAAAAACCCTCTCTTACGCAAAAAATTTAGCCGAGATTTCACAATACTTTGTCACCCTCACCGATAGAGCTTCCTTTACTGATCTTTCACATGTTTTTCTCTCAGTAGCTACAAACTTAATCTGCAATTTCAACGTAGGCTAGTTTGTTTGGAACGTTTTTGTCCCTTCTTGTGAAAAAGCGCACTATTTACCGTTATTGCCCTCTAGTCCTCTGGAGTAAATTCATTTGAAAAACTTTATGCGGAGGAAGATGTGCTACAAAAATATATCTCTTTTTGTTATGTAACAATTTAATCTTGAGACAAAATGCTAATCTACATAAGTTAATCTCACTCAATCCTCGAAATTCGTCTTGGTTTATATATTATTTTTTGTTTTGATTCAATCGTAGGCTTTTCTGGTACACAATTATGTCTTAAGAACAAATCTTAGTGAAAAGGTTTTTTAGACAGAAAAAAAAACTACCATTATCGGCGTTTCTTTTTCTCTTGCATAATGATCTACCTTGCGCTGGTGATTAGTCACGCGGCTGGATGGCCAGTCCGTTTCTCTAGTGAAGATCAACATAAACTGAAAACACGTGAGTTTTAATCGTTATGTAACTTTCCCTTGTCAGGAAAAGCGCACTATACTTATTTTTCGCAGTAAGCGAGGGCATTAGTACAATTTAACGGTATATTTTCAAATCCTTTTAGCTTAATATGATTCATATGTCACGTTTTGTCTCACACATCAAAACACTGACAAGTGACCTACAGAGCGGAAAGGAAAACGATTAAGTAGCTTGTAAAAACTGATTCTTTTCGCCACAGAAATCCAGAAAGACCCACTGAAGAGTTCTGTAGCATTTTGTAGCTTCAAGCTCTTTAAACGTTAATTTTTCGTCGTTATGTATCCTTCAGATGAAATAATAAAAATTCCAACTCCATCAAGGAAAGCTAAAGAGAACGTGGACAACCCACTGTCATATCTCCTGTCTCCTTTAAATGTTTCACGTTGAGCAAATATATCCTTATGCGAATATTTTCTGATCAAAATATTCCCATAATCGTTTCCTGCGTGATGTCTTTAATAGCAATGGAGTATATCCATAAAAAAAAAAAATACTCAATCATATCAAATTTCTCGCATCACTATTTGAACTGAGGATTGATGAGGAGGGATTGTTCTTCGGACAGAAAGAAGCGGGAAAGGAAAGTTATCTAATAGCTGCAAATATCGTGAATTTCCAGCCTTTTATCATAGTGGGGATTAAAATAATTAAAACGAAAAAAATTTTTTTAGGAAAGTATTTTATTACCTGGTCAGTATGCGTGGACAACTCTGTGACCACAGCATTGAAAATGTGTTTTTACATACCTTTTTTTTTACGATAAAATTATCTGAAATTAAATTTCTTATTTCATGCTTTCGAAATTTTCAATAAACAAAGCGCACAACACATTTTCATACTTTGTGAATATGTGCCTCTGTTTTTCTCATGATTTTTATCTTGTATGCAGTCAAATTAACTGTTTTTAGGGAGTAGAAAAATTACAGGTAATGCTATTATCATCTGTTAAACCCAAGTATAAACAAGAAATATGCTTCACCTCGGAATCATTAGCGTGTTTGCACAATTTCGTTGCAACAAGCTTACATAACTAAAACCTCACTGCTTTAAAGTTTTGACGTGAGAGAAAATCTCTCCATTTACATGAGAATGGTTCTTGTATATGTCTTCATCACACTTTAATAAATTGATTTTTACCAAAACTTTGACTTTATAAATATTATTAATGTTTTTTTTTTCATTTTCTTCATTTTGTAGACTCCACATGCTCCGCACTTTGGTGACCTAACCATTTTTCAGCTAGTTTCACCACCAAGCTCAAAACAATGCTCTTGCCCTATCTCTCTAGTCGTTCTTGGGGGAATTAGAGTCGAAACCACTGCACTATAAATTCAAATAGAATTATGTCTCTCACTAATTTCCGTCTATATTCAAAACTGTCGTAGCTAGGGAGATTCTTTCAATGTGGCACGGCGAAGTCTTTAGCAAGTTTCTATGTGATTCTCATCAGCTTCCCTTCTCTCTCTCTCTTTCTCTCTCTCTCTCTATCTCTACAGCAGGTGCATCTCGAACAGTAAACGACGCGTAACAAGTAGCTCTCGGTAGCCTCGGAGACTTACTCCCGCGTCGTTCAAAATATTCCTCTCCATTTCTTCACAAATAGCGTGCCTTCTGCAACGCACAGGCAATGTTTCTTTCTCTTCTTCAAATCTTTCATCTACCTCATCAATAGCTGCGTTAAATTTTGCCGCCGTTTCACGCGATCCTTTGAAGTGATTGATGGCGAACTCGTCGAAATCTTCTGTCGATGCGGCTCGTGTGTTTCGTTCCAGAGAATTTGACTTTGTTGAGAGCGATTCACAAACTTCTTCTTTAGAATTCGACGCGAGCTTCTTATATCGCCGCGAACGCATGCTGAACCGACGCGAAACGTAGCCAAGCGGCTGGTTTAACTTGGCAGTTCGGCGAATCCCTCCGTCAGTTTTCATCGTGCTTACTATGATTTTCGCACAAATAACTGAATCCTATGTCCTTGCAACTCTTAATCCCTAATCGAATCAGGAAGTCAAGGCGCCTCAGTTCCTTGCTTAGAGAACTCCTCTTTCTCAGAAGCATCCTTTCCCTTTATTCTCGGTGGCATCCTATTGGAAAACGTGTTTAAAATTGACAGGTTTACATAGTAATAAAACAAAAAGCGCCAACAATAGACACACCTGCCGACGGAAGCCAATATTATTTAAATAAAATGCTTTCTCGCGCTCTCCGCAAAGACATAGTAAAATTTTGTAATTGCGTTCTTACAAACCTAGAAACCAGGCCAAATTTTTCCCTCTATACAAACAAAAATATGAAAGTTGGATATTTTTTCCGTCTAAAATGCAAATCCTGACACCTTAAGTGTTATGTTCAATATGTATTGCTAAAATATTTTCCATTTCAGATTTTATGTTAACAAAAATTTTCAAAAAGGTTTCACATTAACATCTTAGCGCTAGGTGTCAAATAGCAAAACGACTTTTAAGAGTTGACAAGTTGAAATCGAGGTATCACCGAGGATGTCAATTTCTATTCAAATTTAATGATATCTCGAGGTTGATCGGTTTTCAGTCGGCTTTTATTAACGCTTTTTCAGTATTAGGTCTCAAGTTCTGCCTGTGAATTTATTGTCAAATTCCCCATACTGGAGCGAGGGGTAGGTCGCTAAACACGTGAGCGGAATCTCTAACTCAATCCTGGAAAGTGGACCTAACAAGATCCGAAGAGAGAAATATAGCCGGGACTTCTTTTCTGTTTAATAATTTATTATCACGGAAGTCAACAGGGATATGGGCTCCGAAAAGCAAATTATTCAGTGGATTTTAAGGTTTGAACTAACACTTTGAAAAATAATTCCTATTTCTGCCTGTTTTTGCGTTGCAATTGCGTCATTATCGGCTACTTATACATCAAAATTAACTGTCTAGACATTTTTGTCATAATCCTGTTGCTGCTGACATCGATGTGACAGATAATTGGTCTTTGCCGGCTTATACTTGTCATCAAGTTTCAATAAGACGGCTCATTTTTCACAAGAACAATGAAGTTTTCGTAAATTGTGATATGTACTTACAGTGCAGACGAATTTACATCAATTCTTTTTTCCAAATTCAAAGGCCATTTCTTATCTCAACTTTCGTCTTTAAATCATAGAGACGCTTGAATGTTTTTGAAAGGTTATTTTTCCGTGTTAAACAATTAGTACGCCTTTATCAAACTTAAATCGTGCCAAACAATTTAACCAAAAATTGAAGCTACCCTCTTTCAAAACCTTTATTATATTTAGCGGCCATAACAAGCATTACGCCATAAGTGGATCCCGCAAAAATTTCAAGCCAGTAAATTTGTCTCATGGAATTGATTGGACATGGGAAGTAAATATTATCGATAGTTCATGTTTGATTTCATGTATGACTGATTCAGTTATAGATGTCCCTTTGGTTGAACGCTTTAAAGGCTAGCGGTTCAAATTTTGGCCATTTTATGGCTAAATTTTTAATATCATTCCGTAGTTGTCACCAGTATTTTTTTTTCATGCTTAACCCATTAACTTTTTTTACGGCTATTGGTTAGAATTTGTCAAATTTTACGCTTAACAGCAAAATTGTTTGGCCATTTTACGGCCAATGGTAAACCCCATTGAAACCCTCTTGAATGCCATGTCGGTTGATATAGACTTTACAGTAAGCTCCTCCCGGTGCATAAGTGCACGCAATCATTTAAGGTAATTAATTTATGAAGTATTGGTTACTATCTGTTTCCTTTTTTTTCTTTGTTCCTTACCTTTTTCCTTCTCGATTTTATGCTGCTCAGCTTTGAATTTCCAACACGGGACCGCCAGCCATTAGCTATGTAAAACAGGATATTTATTTCATCGCAAAATTACTTCGATAAGAGGATCTCAATGGGGGTTAACCGTTGGCCGCAAAACGGCAACAAAAATTCAGCTGTTAAGCGTAAAAATTTCCAAATTTTAACGTTAGTCGTTAAAAAGTGTTAATTAATCTTAGAAAAAGTTCTGGTGACCACAATGGAAAGATATCAACCATTAGCGGTAGATTGGCTGACATTTTAACCGTTTTAATCCTTACGTTCATATCAAATCATAATCTCGCAGTACTTCGTCTATTACCAAACATTTCCGTAAGTTTCGTAAGCTGATACCATACTGGTCTCTCAGCTGCTTCTCAATGTTGTCACATACAGCGGAGCGGCGTTGAGAAAGTCTTTCTTTGGCAACTTTGCTACCCCGCCAACTAGGGACCCGTTCTAGCGGCGGTTTAGCCGACTGACCTTCCTTTTGAGCTGACTTCATTGATCGAGGCTTCTTTTTAACTTCATGATTATCGTTATCATTCTCATTCAGTTTTCTGTAACGGAATCCTGGTGATTTAAATGGTAATTTTTGACTCTTTGCTCCTCTTTTAAATGTTTTCGAGCTACCAAAGCGAGAACGTATTCCAGAGCAGTTATTTCTGGCGTCCACTTTCCGGACACTTTTATTCTGGCGTAATTTACTTTCGTCAAAGATCCTTTCCACCTCTTTTTTGTTAGCGTCACCTGCACCTAATAATTTTCCAACTGGTCCAGCAGAGGAATGTTTCTCCTTTTCGCAAAGACGTTGGGTGTCGTTGAAAAATTCTGACTCAAATTCCAGTTGTTTGTTCTGGGATGTATTTGTGTGTTTAGCTTTCTCCACTCTTAGAGAGGGGTCCGAGCTTCCTCTCGAAAAACTCTTAAAACCGTCAAAGTTCACGGGCGTTCTTTCTTCTTCAACCATTTTGGAGGTTTGCTGTTTTCTAACTTCAGGGGTAGTGTCAAGCATTTTATGGCAGAAGCTTTTGCTGCGCTGAAACTGTCTAGTCTTGAAATTCGAGTTATTTTGCAATCCCGTTATAACATGTGCTTTTTGATTTTCATGCGGAACACAAACCTGATCCTCCTCCCTTGAGCATTTCCCGCTGGCAGATCCTCCAAGGTGGAGCTCTTTGTTACTTTCTTGAGCTTTTTTCCCTTGTCGTGGTATTTTCACTCGCTCAAAAGAATCATCGTTTTCATCACAATGAAGTTTGCTACATTGGAAAGTTTCTTCCCCATATTTTGCCGTTGCGTCTTCTTCTTTAGGTGGGTTTATTTCGTCTTGGTCATGAGAGGTAAGCCTTCTGTAAGAACAATCTGCGAGGTTGAATTTCCGCTGGAGAACACGAACGGTGAGATGGCTTTCAATTGCGCTTTTTAACATCTGAACTTTGGAATGAATCATACTGAACGCTCCTCGGCGCGAGTCTAAAATAAAAAAGCACGGAGAAACAAACGATAACATTAGAAACGATACAACTTGAGAAATTTTCAAGAGGGACCAATAGACGATTAAACTAGAAAACCGAAGAAATCCATTTAGGAAAAACCTCGTCAAAATAGTTTGTGTTGCGGATCTAAGCCGGCTAATACCCAAGTGAAGAGAAATGGCCCAACAATCAATAATTTGTTACTTGAAAATATGTCAAAAGCGTCATTTTGATTCAGGATACGCTCCATAAAGAAGTTTTCGTATAACCTCTTAATGTAGCATGAAACGATGCTTCTTTCGGTGATTGAAATGTGAGAAATTCGGCTCTTAGGCGTCAACTTACGTTTTTAATTAAAAGAGCTTGACCAATATGTTGATGACGTAACTTAATAGGTTTGTCATGTCAAAATATGAAAAAAATAATAATTATGTGTGCTGAGACAAGCTTTAACGAGTCTAAAGCTCCATTTTCATTAGAAGTTTTCACTTTCTAAGAAAAAAAAACTGCCTGTTACATATGGTAGCTATGGAAAGGTTGATGGTGTAGATATTTTCAAAAAACCATTTTTCGACAAATGTTATGTTAAGATGATGTTATACAAACAGACGCCGCCGTTTAGGGAAGTCTCCTTGTTAAGAAATTATAAGCAGTTTTCGATGTTGGATATAAGGGCCGATTTGGCGTGTGTTTATTGTGTTCAATATTTTTTAAGTTCGTAATTATTCATTTCGCAATTTACATGAGATAACCGGACCGTTTCTGAAAAGTGTTTTCAATTCAAGCTTACAATGACTTGCACTTCCGTGTTTTTGAATGAATAATTAACAAAAAGAACGAGTTCATTTCTCAAAAGCTTAATTATGTTCAGAAACAAAAAAAGGGAGAAATTGTCAGTAAAAATGAAAAACAAAAAAATTAATTTAAAGTCCAAAGTTCGATCTAGAATGACATAATTTTTCCATCGCTTATCTAAAATCAAGGAGGCTCCATGGGGTTTTTTTGACCGCGCGAGATCTGGGTGAGAACATAGCACGAGCTTTAAAGGTGTCAACATGCACAACAAACATGGCGGCTCGATACGATCGCACGATTGTTACCTGAAAAGGAGTGTTAAAAACAGTTTAACACAATACAATTACCTACGTGATGAAATGTAGGTTTTCTAGCAAATACACCCGTAATATTCATAGGCCCTCTACGCCTGAAATAGAGGTAAAACGAAAGATAACACCGCGGGAAAGATTCTCAAAGGACGACAAATTCGAAAGTCTACGCATGCTCAGATATCGATCTTGACGAAGTTCTATTCCATTATCTAATGTTTTGCGACAAAGAAAACATGGATCTTTTAAGTGAGATTTTTCGCGTTTCCTTCGGTGGAATTTCCTAAGATTTGCTGGACCGTCAAACATATTTGTACCCTTCCTAGTGCCTGTTGATAAAAACAATTCATATGACCAAATTTGAAATAGAGGAAGAAAACACAAAATTTCAAATAGCGAGGAAACTGCCTGTATAACCCCTATTTTTTTCGGCTTTTTTAATGATCGGTAGGACAATTTTCACAAATTGTGAAAACTTTGAGAGATTTCACCGTAGCAAATTGAAGAAAATCAAAGGCGAAGCCAAGTTGTTACTGGCGAGCGCCTCCCTTCGTGGAGCCCTAGCTTACGAACGAAAATCATTGTAATAATATTCACCACAGCAAATGATAGTCCGAACCGTGCTCATTGCCTTTTGACGGCTTTTAGTAAACTTAAAGAACGAAAACATAAAAATTTTCTAGAATAACATTACGCTGGCTCGCGCGCCAACATTCACCAAAAGCCTTATAGAACCTCCTTAAGACAACTTACTCCTCATTCACTTTGTATCCTGACTAAAAATAACTATTTTTCTTTTCGTATTCATCCGTTATTTCGTTTTTTTTTAATTTATTTTTTATTGAAGGTATCCAAACGGTCTATTTGAATCACAATTAGTTTAACTCTTGCCTTGGTCAATTCATTTTGGAAATTTGACTATCGAGAAATTTGATCCTATGCAATCTATATTCTCAAATGCGAGGGATTGACAACGTGTTTCCCAAAGTTTTGCTTTCTTTATGATTGTGCGCCTAACTGGTTTTTTTTTTTGTTTCTTTTTGGTCGGTATTAACTTTTGCTCAGGTTTTTAGATTTCTATGTTGTTAATAGGCGTATCTTTAACATCGTTACTGATGAAGAATCGAAACACTCTCTAAATGCAATGTGTAATATAACAGCTTTGCACTCACCGTTTGTTGGTTGGAATAGATAATTCAAAACTAAGAATCACTTAAGATGGCAAACTTTGTAACCCCAAGAAAAACTGATGAGCTCTATGGAGGCGAAATCCTCTCACAAGGTATGATTTCTTGTTCGTTCAATGAGCTATTTAGCGTCAAAGGTGTCTTTTCTATTAAACAGGTTCTCTTTATTCCATCCAGCTTGGATGAAATGATAAGGAATTTTGAATGCGAACACCGATATCTGGCAGATATTATTGTTTACCACCTGCGGCAAGATTGATTGACGTCGGAGGAATATTTTTTCTACTGGCGTAGTTTTCTATTTCTGTCGATTCATACCACAAAATTGGTCATTAATTCAGAATGAACGTGCCTTTTTTCTGTTTAGCATCGCTTCTAAATGGTACAGCCTACGTCTCGTCGGATGGTTTTTTCCTAATAATCTTGAATGAAAGGATAGTCTCTTTTCAGTTTCAATCTATACGTGAAATAAAAAAAAAAATTTTTTTAAAAATTAAAAACATGTCAAACGCAATAAACACTGAAACTCTTTCACAGTTTAACATCTGTTGTAATTTGTTTGATGTTTTTCAGTTTTTGGTATAGAGATACTACAAATAACAGTTTAGAACTAGAAACAAACTTGTAGTTGTTCGGTTTTGAATGTTAAAATTTCAATAATTACTTACGTAAGAAGGGGAAACGCGTAAGGCTGAAAAACATTCGTTTAACTGCTATTTTCCGCAGGAAACCTGTACGTCACGTTCAGCTGCACAAGTCAATTCTGCTTTTGCCTTCGGCGCGGTAAAACACATCAATAATGTTATCTTGACAAAGCCAAATTGAGGAGAGTGTTCAATTGTCTTGTCGTTCAGACATGTCAGTTTCATCAACAACAGGTAATTAAATTCTTTTAATATTAAATTCAGTTAATCGGGCGGTTACGGGTTTTAGTGTAAGTAAGCCAATGATTACAGACGATGTCCTGCTTAATTTAAATGTATACAACCATTTAAACCGAAAGTAGCAGATAATTAAACAAGCGAGCATTTTCAAAGTACACATGGTCCTCATCTATCTTGCTTTTTCAACTAAACGGAACTGAAGACATAATATCTAACCTGAATAGGCTACTACAAACAGTTTCTGTTACATTAATAATTCTTGGGGTCTCAAAAAAAAACTTCGAAAAAAAAGGGAGAAAAAAGCAAGGAAGGAGACTTACAATCCTGAGGGCACTGGATACGTCCTGAAACTTGCAGAAACGGTTTTTACTTCGTCGTGCACTTCTCAGCAGCAGAATTTTAGCCATGTTACAAGTAGCAGAAGTGATCAAATCCTTAACTTAAAAAATTGATAAACACATTATGTAATGTCTACTGACGTTATCCAAGCGGTCTAAAGAGAGAGGTCATTCTTGGTCCTTATAAGTACTTCAATGATTTCCAAGACGTCAGCTGCTTAAATTTTAAAGAAAAAGCGTTAAAACCCCCTGAGCAAGATCTAAAAACTGTATTTAATTATAATTGAATAATGAAATGGATTTCAGTAGTTATAGGGTATACGTAGGGATTTGTGTGGCGCATGATGCCATGAAACCCAAGTGCGTTACTAATATTATTTTTCAAACAATAGAGTTTTTCTATCTGATGTCTCCACATTAAAAAGTCATAAACTTGTTTTTGACGGTGTTCACTTACGTAAATGACCTATTGACGTCTTGACATCCTACCACTTCAGATTTATGTATAGCAAAGTAGCCCCTAAAAAAATTTAAAGATAAACACCACATTTCGAACACTCCGTCAATGCACTTCAATTTATCTCTACCTTTCTTACCTCAAAATCGCCTCAGCGATATACTCCTCTCACCCCACAATATACTTTTCAGTTTAAAATAGTGATTTCAATCGAGAATCTTATCGCTTTCATTGTTAATAGACTATTGCAAGAGCGTATGACGGTAAAGCTCTGTAATTATGTCAAGTAAATATAAATTGATGCGATATATAATGATCACACCATACAAGCAAATGGAAAGTAAATGTAATATTCACAGTGATGTTTAAAACCACAAACTTTTCATGATATGGATATATGTAAATGATAGTAGATGTAATAAACCAAAAAAGGAACTTTGCAAGCAAGTGTGAAAATTGAGGCAATTTATTGACTCGAGAGGACCTTTGCGCGCTGCCAGTTTATCATATTCCGAGGATCAACCATCGATCATAAAACGTTCATTTTATCCAAAGTCCAATTATTATTTGAAATTCAAGGGAACAACCATGTTGACTTCAGTAGTGGACTTAAACGTACAGATACTGTAAACGTTTTTATTGACGATTGAAACGCGTTACTAATTCTGCACGCCTGCAGTATATCGTTTCGAGGCACCTTCTGATTCGACAGATCCCATCTGATACTATCGATGAGGCATTCATCATACAAAGTGTGTTTCAGTTCTATATTTGCTTTTGAACAATTTCGCGGTCTATGAGCCATGAGTCCGGCCAAGAAAAAATGGGCAAACCAACTTTGGTTCATATAATTGAAAATATTTCAGCTTAACGATCCGGGCGGAAGGAAATAGCTTAAATGAAAACCTTGAGCGGTAACACTATTTTATTCTCTTTTGAACTAAAATGAAAAGGTGCCATGAAGCCAGATTCAGGGTGTCGTGTTATAGCCTCCCTATACTTGGTGACGCTTGTTTTTATAACACTGCAACAGCAGAGAGACAAAACCCAGGTTCCAATGCGGATACCGTGACTGTATGTACACCCGGTGTTAAACTTCTTGTTAGGATATTCACTTGAGTCCGTCTTTGTCCATTCTCTTCCTTAATAGTTTTCGCAGTATTTTGGTCGCCATCCAGCCACAGAGACCCCATTCCACCAAATGAATTGTGTGTTGTTATCGCCAGCTCCCGCTTGTAGCCATCTCGGTTTTCTGAAGGAGGAACAATAAACTTCATCTTCAACATTGCTCCCGTTTGGATAGCTTTTAAGCATCTTAAGCGATCACGCCGAATAGGCCAATGACTAATGTTTGCAAACTGAAACCCAGATGCTTCTGTAAACTCGAGATCGGGTAGAGTATTTCTCAACTTTTGACCATAATCTGGTGTCAAAAGGGTCCAACACAACGGCTTAGGGCTCACGGGATCATCGAATATTGGTTCTGCTAAAGATAGTGAAACTTCTTGATTTTTACGCGCTGGTGTGTGATTTCTGAGCAGAGTCATCTCTTCTGAAATAGTTTCCTCAAAGACACCCTTGATATATGAAATCAAAAGGGTTGACATTTGTGCATGTCCGAGGAGGCTCGGGTGATATCCGTCCGAACTAAAAAGTTTCTTCAGATCCAATTCCTTATCGCGTGAGCATATCACATTCCTCCAACTTAAGGAGGTTAGTTTATAATATTGCGCAATAGACTTTCCTCCTTCGTCTTCGGAGTCCGGGCAGTCTTGACCAATAGCTGTCTTGTAGTAGTTTCCGCGAAAGAAGTTTGCAAGTATCAAAGCAGGCTTCGATGGCAAACTCAATATTATTCTAATCAACTGTTCTAATGGTTTTGCCGGAGCGAACTCTCGGCCTGCATATCGTTTGTAATCGTTAGCCGCCAGCTCCCATATGACTATGTCAGGGAGGGATCTCATATAGTTTTGTATGCAATACGAAAAATATTCAGAATCAGTTCCGCCAATGGCAACAGCACTGACTTTTAGCTCGGAAGTTGTGATCGGTGTTACGGTGTTGTTCCACCAATCACTGAAGGCCTTATGATAAACGCCTTCAACATTTCCACGATCTTTCTCAAGTCCACCACCTGCCGAAATAGAACCGCCAACCACAAGCACATTCAGATCACTGCCAGTGAGTGCCTTCTTAAAGACTCTTTTCAACCTTTGGGGTGATCCGAGATTGGCTATTCCAGACCGCAGCATCCCTGGTGAGATTCCTATTTCGTTCAGTGATTTTTGGTAATAAATCCAGCTACTCATAAAATCCCGAGATAATGATATTTCCAATGACTTAAGTTCTTCTCTATAGAGCTCATTTAAATCATCGTTCTTACTTTTGGAAGTAACGTTGTCCTCGAAGGACGTCGACGTTTCATTAGTTACTTTCAAGAGGGAAGGAAGTTTGGAAGCCTTGCTTTTGGTGGTTTCATTTTGCATGATTGTTACATTCCTGAAATGCTCCTTAAATTCGTCCCTCGACTTGTTTGTGATAAGGTTGGGCTTCAGAATCACCATTGAATCCTCTACTTTTGCAACTTTGACTGGTACCCCTTTGTGCACCATTGGCTGTTGAGAATCATGACTACGATTTTTCATAAGTTCTTTGATGGACTTTGGCGACACTACTATTATTACTCTATCTTTCAAATCAGTCACGTTTTCCTTTTTGGAAGCTTCGGCTGCCACTATTGGATTTGAGTTACCACTGGACACCTTCAGTCTTAGTTCACCTTCCGGGACACTTTTTGCCGTTTCGTTCCTTTCAGCGGCTCCGTCAAAACTCAGTAAAGAAATAAAGTCTTCTAAGTATTTTTTCAGAGATTCTTCTTCCGAGGGCCCACTTTTATTCTGTTTTGGAATTCCAGAGATGTTATCGCTTGCGCCATGCTGAACGATGAAACTTGCATTTGACTCCTTTGTTATGACTTCGATAGGATTTGAGATTGTACTTGTTTTGTTATTCTCAGGCTGATTTTCTTCGCTTTGTGAGATGTTGATGGAGTTGTTTGACTCATTTCCATAGTTATCATTAAAATGAAGCTGTTTGCGAAGATCTGTTTCGTTTCCGAAGTAGCTCATCAGGACCTGATGGGATGAAAGGCCGTCATTTCCCGATGTTGGTGGAGCAGAAGTGTTCATGATATTTGTAGAAGGAATAATTCTATGTTGAGGGGTCAGCCTTTGGTTTACGTAGGTAGTGCTTAAGTTACTTTGGTGACCAAGCTCACTTCCTCCGTTTTGAATTTCATCGCTTATAACATCGGTATTGTTTGGTGCCTGTTTGTACATTTCCTTGGAATTTAATAAATCAAATAAGGTCTGATTTGCTACCTGGATACTCCTTATTTGACCTGATACTTCTCTGTTCTTTTCAATTCTGAGAGAGGAAAGCTCTTGGTTGGAAACATCCCTATTATTTCCAGGATCCTCTCCATAATTATATAAAGGATTCTGTGGGATTGTGATATGTCTTCCGTTTCTCCAATTCCGTTCATCGACGTTACTTTTCAGGTTCTTGAAAAACATTCCATTTTCTCTTCCAGTTTCTTTTTTATCGCCATATTTGTCATCAAACAGTGAATGAAATCGGGAAACTTCCTTCATCATCTGTTGGGCATCGTTAAATACAGGGTTGCTTTTAAAGCTAGCACTATGCGCTGGGAGAAAATTTCCGTGGGCTTGCCCGTACAAGTCCCTTAATTTCTCAATCAATTTTTCGTACTCTTCGTGCCATCTGGATAGAGATTTGTTTGGATTATGTACATTTTGATGAGGAGCAATCTGCAATGGCACACCAACAAAACTTTTGATAGGGTCTTTGCTTTCATTGCGGTCCTCGTTAGCAACAAAAAGGGGCCGGGCATGATTTCGTTGCCAACTGTTCGACTGCAGTTGTTGAGTTTTTCTGTTGTGTCTATATATTGAAGATTCGTTCATCTCATGTAAAGAAGCTTCCATAGTTCTTTGCTGATTCGCTAAATTCCATGGAAACTTCCTGCTACCATATTGCGAGTTACTTAACTGATTAGCGCTACTTTTCAGGCTGAGATGCTCATTGAGTTTTGTTTCCGTTGCTTGTAATGATTCCAAGTATGGTTTTTCGGAATTGCCTGCCTCCTCTGCTTTTGCTTGAAATTTTCCTCTCACGGAGGGCTCTAGAGACAGAGTCGTTGCATCAGTCACAGTCGCCACATCGTTTACGGTACCTGTGCTTTTACCAAATTGTTGAACAGTTATATTAGTTTTACTCATGTGGAAATGGTTGAGGCCATCTGTTTCAGCGAGTAGGCGAGCATTTATCTTTTCCCCAGGAAATTGCACGACATACTCGTTGTTTGGCCTTCGTCCCACCTCCGGGGTCCCCGAGTAACCAACAGAAACCCTTCTGTCATGATCGTTTGTCCTAGTGGGACCATTTATCTTGAGAGGCAATGCCATTTGGAAGCCTTGTTTCCGGTGCTTCGCATCGATTTTATGAATATTTTTAGTCGTTTTTAGAGTGTTAACAGCGGATGAATTCTTTTCCTTAAAGGTCCCTTGACTTGGAGGCAAGTGACTGCTACCACTCCCTACCGATCCAGACTTTGACATATCACTCTGATTGTACGGATGCCATCTGGTGTGGAAAATGTTTCTTTCATGTGTAAAGTTATTATATTTCATCACTGAAGCTAGATCCTCAGGATGATTATTTTTATTGTCCGCTAATGTTTTATCTGGTCCTTCTTCGGCACTTCCCGTCAGAACAAATTTTCGCTCGTGATCATTAACATTTGCATGTAGAGGTTCAGGATTCGTTCTCATTTTGCGGTTATCTGTTGCTAGTCCCGAAAAAATTCTGAGGTTCTTTTCTAGATTCCCAACAAAATGTCTAACAAGGGTAAGGTTATTATTCTCAATGACTCTTTCTGAGGAAGGTAAATAAGCAAGCGTACCATTTTCGTTTTCGCCATTTCTGGCGTGCCAATTTGTAGTGTTTTGTTGAAGATTAAAGTTTGTGTGAACTTGCTGGATGTTTTCAGGACTATGCAATGTATTGTTTTTGTTTAGCTGCATTGGAAAGGGAAAGTGTTTGTCAACATGTTGGGGAGCTTCGACACTTTGAATGATTTTATATGGCTGCGTCACATTTTTCTCAGCTTGTTTAATGGCGTCCCATATAGGCTTGCTTAGGACTGGATGCGATTCTTCATCATTTGGACTCATTTCATCGTCATCTTCAATGATCGTTACTTCCCCAGGCAGTAGACTCTGATTGTTTTGTTGCTGTTTTCCATTTCTCATAATGGTCTCGTTTTCCACTTGTTTATCAGCATACGCCGACATAGCTTGATTAACGCGTAACTCTCCTTGTCCCTGGGGTGGATGCGTATCCACAACTTGACTTATTCTGGAATCTGATTTGGTCAGTGCACCAAGCACATCGTTCACCTCTTTTCCTATCATTTGAAATTCTTCATTTTCACCTTCGTTTATACTATTTGCCACATTGGTATATTCCACTTTGGCTTCATCTGAACCCAGGGTGTTATAAGAATCCGTGTCTTTGCCATCAATGTTGTCAATAACTGTGACGTAATTGTTTCTGAGACCAGACAGACCATTTTGGTCTTCGTTTTCTGAATTGCCATTTCCTTCAACCTCTTCGTAAAGTGGACTTCCAAACTCGTACTGTTTAGCCCCATTGTCTTGACTGTCCTCAATGAATTCAATATCCTGACGGGGTTTTTCCTTAATTCTCTTTCGAAGAACCTCTCTAAAGCGCTTTATTTCCTTATTATGAAGGGAGCTGTGAGGTCTTGGCTTTCGGTCGAAATTTAAGCCCGTGTCATTATGAATTCTAAGTAAGTTGTCGGCATCGTGACCTATCTCCGCGCTTTTTTGTTTCTCATCATTTGCTTTAAAGGCGTTACTTAGATATTTTTGTGGAAATTTGGCTTGATCATTGTTACTAATTGTCCATTTCTTTGCTATAGGCTGTAGAAAAGAATGGGTCTGCGAAAGGACTTCCCTCAAAGGAGACACCATCGTGCGTCGTAATTGTTTCCAACTCTTGCCAAACACTTTATCCTGATCATTATAAGTTTCACTTCCATGGCTAACATTCAGCGTCAGAACAAACGCAAAACAGGTGATGAAAACTTCTCTCATTGCAGTATGTTTACTTTGGTTGCTTGCTTTGTGACGCCATGGTGGTCAAACAAAAGTCCGTGTAAAAGGATACTCACCGAGGAAGTATCCTTGATTAAACTCCATGCACCAGTCTGCGAAAATACAAATGGTCATCCATCACATATTGAGATTATAAACTCAGTCTGTTGCATGCAAAGGACCCTGGACGCTTACTCTTACTCAACATTAATCTAACTGTGTTTCAAAGTAACTATATGAGCTGTCTTTGACAGGATTTAATCCAGGGTGATGCGGGCTAAATTCAGTGTGAAGCAGAACGTCCCAAGCAATTGCAACGATGAAATTTAGTTCTTCGCTGGGGGTTTTGCTCTTTTGTTTTCAATTGGATTAAAGCCAGGCCAAACACCCTCTTCACCCAACTCCAGAAAATGAGTACAATGAATCCCCATTTCACAACAGAGCATTCTGTTTGCTGTTCTTATTTTTAAACATAAATAGTAATGTTTTGTTTTTCGGTTTTTCTATTTTTTTTAATGGCGTTACGCTTTAACTTTCTCTGGGGAAATCCGAGAGCCCTTTCCGGTCCTTCTATTTGAACTGAATGGTGGAGACGGGAAAGGGGGCTAGTAATTTTCCTCCGTGTTTTAAAGACTGTGTGATATTCGATTTTCTTTTCCTCTGCAGAAAACAATGTAATGTGCTATTGGTAATAAGTGACCTAGAAAACGATTGCACATAATAAAAAGTACCCCCGTCTCATAACAGGTAACGTAACAGGTACCAAAGCAGTTTTTGAGTGAAATCTGTTGATACGTACATGGCAAATTAAAAGAAATTGTTATTATGGCTGATTTGACTTTTTGACATTAACTGATCTTTTAATAACTGTTTACGATGACGATTAGTAATAAGTTGCAATTGAGACTATTCTACATTGGTTTAAAATAAAATAAGCATTTTCTTTTCTTGGCAGGTGGAGAAACTGCAGTTGGGGAAACAACAGACAGTTCCTCAAGCAAAACACTGACCTCGTTGCCTGGAACAGATGCAATTTGTGGACGAGAAATCGACTTAGTGTTTTTTATGTATTAATTCACATAGCCGAATAGCTTCATGGTTGGAAACCGATACAATTAACGAAGCCATAACAATTTTCCATTTGCCTCACTCAGACATAACATAACATACCTCATTGACTTAAAGAGAGGTCGCTGAAACTGGCCCTGAACCACAATCATGATGTCAATCATGGCACATCTTGTATTATTCTATCAAGCGATAGTCAGCATTTCGATTTACAGTCATGAATAAACGGCTTCATTTTCATCAGAACCTCTTTACCCTGACCTCCTATATCCGTCGAGTTTTCAGATGTATAAAATTTAAGATTCAATATTAAAGTTGATAACGTCAGGTCTATTTTTTATATGCCAATTTTAGGGCAGGAGCGTCTAAACGATCACGTGAAACCAGGAGACCATTTTCATTGGCTTATTTCATCCTAGATTCACTTTGGCCTCTTCTCTCTTATAATGCCAGCCTTTAGTTTGTGGAGATAATAATGAAGCTGTGCAATGCATTTTGCAATAGGAGAATTTCTTGTTTTTTATCTAGTGCACTTACGCCGATCACGCGTTCTACGTTATGTCATCAGTGTGTACCCGATTTAGCAGGGCGCCTATTTCTGAGACAACACTCGGTTTTATCAAAAAATCAAACTTGGATCATTTGAGACATTCCAAGGAAATGCTTGAAGTCGACCGCCCTTATGCATCAAAGCAAACAAAGCGCCTAAAATACGATTAACGAGACAAAATTCAACTCCCACGTGCATCAGAAAAGCGAGATAATTGATGTGTTGTTACGCGAAGAAACGGGAGGGATTAGTACCAATATTTCCGTGAGAGTCCGCTGAGCATCCAAATTCAAATTTTACCTCAATACTATCTTCTTTCATTGGAACCCCTTCTGACGATTCCACGTAGTCGTCCGCTAGAATCCTCTTCCATCTGAGGATGAATAGTTTTTCTTTTTGCATAGCAGCTCTTGCTGCCCTTCTCCTTGCATCATGCATCCTCGGGAAAGATGATTTCGACTCTAGACTGGTTATTAGTGAGGTTTCTCGAAAGATAGACCTTTCGACTCAGCTGACTAAAGTCAGTACTTCCTTAACTCTAGAGAATGAAGGAGATTCTGCAGTAGGACACTTTCATCTGGCAATCGAACCAGCTCTTGTCGATAAACTTGCATTTGTTGGAGTTACGGTGAGTTTTCTTAAGCTTATTTTCTATGTTACAGATAAATTGCTCGAAGCGTGACGGCGAAGACGAATCTTTTGTCTGTAAATTCTGTTCTACTGCTGCCACGTATCGAATCACAAGAAATTCTATCTTATAGCTCACGTTTTCCTTGTGGATTTTTAGGCCAAGACCCCTGATGACGAGGACTCGACTTTAACTATGGAACAAGTAGAAATCGAAGCACATAGGTAAGCATTTATGCTGGTGAATTTCATTTCACAATAAACGAAACAAATAGTAATGAATGTATAGTCATCTTTTTAAACGTGCGTGACGTTCTTGTTGTATTACGCTTTCTTTATTTGTTCTCGAACATTTCGGACAGATCCAACAATTGTTTGCTTTGAAGCGTGAAGCAACCACATATTATGTGTGATTTTCATGTCGTAAAAAATGCATTTGAAATGGTTGCTACATGTAGCTAAATAATAACATTTAGTTTGTGGTAGTTCGAAGTAAATTTCGATTTTAAAGTAATTTGGATTTTCCCATTTTGTTCTTGTTGCATTACCATTGTCCTTAAAGGATAGAAAATGCAAATCGAACAAGTTTGAAATAATTTTAGACTGAATTCATTTTAAACAACAACATGTACAGGCACTGTGTACATGTGTGCATTTGTGAGGCAATGACTTTCCTCTATCTTATCCTTGTGATTTTAAATATTTTCCTCAATTAATTTATTATTTAGTGAAACAAAGTTCTTCAGAGCAGATCTTGGATTTCGCCTGAAACCAGGACATTCAGTTGAGCTGACTGTGGATGAAGTATTTGCTCATGCCATGACTCCCTTCCCAACCAAGATCACTCAATCCGAGAAACAATTTGTCCTCTTTTCTGCCAACCATTATTACTACACACCTTACACTGTTAAAAAACAGAGTGCAACTGTTTCCTTGGCAACGTCCTCTGTGGAGTCCCACAGTAAGCTTAAGCCCACTAGTCAGTCAGACAATGCTATAACATATGGACCTTACAGTGATGTTGAGGCATTCCAGATTAGTCCTATGAGAGTTCATTTTGAAAACAACACTCCCTTTCTCTCGGTATGTACTGTATGATTAGTCAAATGCTCTGCGAATGTTAGAGTGAAATCACTGAATCAAATATTTAAAGCAAACTTTCATCCTGAGGCTCTAAAATCTTCCCAGATCAACATTTTTTTTTAGTAATTAATAACTGACAATTTGTGACAAGTTGTACAAATCTGTATTCAGGTGGCACTGGCATGGATTGTGTGGGTTTTATCACTTTTTTTTTTTGGTTTCAATTGAACCTTCAAAAGCTTTTGTAGGTTGAATATCTCGACTTTTGGATATCCAGGAGTGATCATTTTGTTAATCCTTTTTTCAAGTTGAATAGATCATTAAACAGATGGGTGGGGAGAATTATGGAAAAAATCTGAAAAAGTAGATATTAGAAAGTTTCAGTGTATTGAATGTTTGCGAAACTTATTAACTAAGAAAGAAACTTCTGCAGTTCGAAAGATATTCATGTAAATATGTACTAGGAGGTACATGTTGGGTAAAGGTGAGTTTTTGTGTTTTTTAATTCAGGTGCTCCACATGGCACGAACAATTGAAGTTTCCCATTGGGGTAATGTTGCAGTGGAAGAAACCTTTCATATGAAGCATGTGGGAGCAGAACTCCAGGTGAGTGATTATTGTTTAAGAGATCTGTGGCCTTATGTAGGTTAAGAATGTACAGTGTAGGATTTTTCCATCACTTTTGACTTAGTGTTTACTTCAAAGGACCAGCTTATCCTAGACTTTGGTCTCTTATGCATCTTGTGATTTTTTTTTTCCACGATATGCACATGGGCTGAACATGCATTTTGTCGTAGTAGTTCATGTGCTTCATCACCTTAACCCTTTAACTCCCATAAGTAACCAAGAGAGAATTTCTCCTTACCATTTCAGTATAATATCAAGCAGACAAGTGATGAGAATAAAGAAAAATATGAGTAAGAGGATTATGGATTATTAGTTGATCCAATACCAAATTCTTGAAACTAAATCACAAGAACTGTATGGTAGACAGTAAGGAGAATCACTAATGAGATCTTGGGAGTTAAAGGGTTAATCTCTATGGTTTCATACAGCATTAATATTTACCTGTGGTTATTCAGAAGGATGTTCTGAGGATAATATTTCTTTACCCTAATCTCTGGCTTGCAGGGTCCATTTTCGAGGTATGACTATCAACGTACCCCAGCTCCTTCTTCAATCAAGTCTTTCAAGTCTGTTCTGCCAGCATCTGCTAGTGATGTGTATTATCGGGATGAAATTGGCAACATCTCCACCAGTAACCTGTGGTCTCAAGAAGATTCAGTCGAGTTGGAGTTGCGACCAAGGTTTCCTTTGTTTGGTGGCTGGCAAACAAGGTTCTACATGGGTTATAATGTTCCTAGTTATGAGTATCTATACAACCTAGGTGAGTCGTCAGCTGTGCTCTGTAGTGGAAGAACTATATTATCGTAACAGGATCTATTGTGCAAAAAATATTTTTCTGCATGTTATCATTTATTGTTAATTTTTTTTCTCCCTTCTATTGAAGGGGTACTTACCATCAAAATAAATAATTATGTTTAGAAAAGTTGTCGAACCTAGTGTTGGTTTGGAAGGTTGTACCTAATTTAGTGGGAACTCTGGGTGTTCTTGCAGTATTGTAGTAATAAAAGGGAATCTAAATCACATATATTTATAAATAGTGACCTCTATTTGGTACAAAAATATGAGGGATGTTTCTCTGCAGTCATTATTTGTATCAAGATGGGAAACAAGACACCAGGTCTAAAAATTGGGGAATATCACTTGTGAGATATCCTCAGATATTCCCCAGTTTTAGCTGGGGCATATTCAATCACATGATGTGTTTGGACCAATTGCCCATGAGCAGAAGTATTTGATGGATTATATTCAAAGATTTTTTGATGAATGATTGATCTATGAAAAACTACTGGTATTTTTGAGAGGATTGTGGTGATTCTTTTCCTGTATGAATGACTATGTGACAGTTGTGTTAATTTTGTAATAAACCAAAAATTAATGCTTGTTTACTTTTTTCCCAATTTTATAGGTAGCAAATATGTTCTAAAGATGAGAATTATTGACCACATCTATGATGAGTTCGTTGTTGACAACCTTGCATTGCGCATCATTCTCCCAGAAGGATGCACGTAAGATTATTTACTTTGTTAGCTAAGAATTGACAAACATAGTAATGAGATAAATATATCCTATTAGGCATTTTGGTATGTAGTATCGCTGAGTAATTTGACAAGTTGTGCTGTATTTTGACAAGCCCATAGGGCAAGTCAAAATACAAAACAATGAGTAAAAATTCTCAGTGATACTACATACCAAAAGGTCTAATATGTTATTTATTATCCAACTGCTTTTTTTTCTGGTAAGTCTTTCTGTTCATTTCTCATAAGGCGGGAAAAGCAAAGTGGATAGAAAAGCATAATGTGTGCAGTCAACTGGTTAAACAGGTTTTTTATAGTACAAAACAACCAATTGTCCAATTAGCCATTCAATATCACAGGATATTTGTACTATATTCCTGCATTGTTTGTACTCTGCTTTGTGCAGTTGGATGATAATAATCAGTATTTCTTAATTTCATGATATCATTGTTCTTGATGTTGATATATTGGGTTTTCATCCTTTTTTCTGTAGAGACATTGAATTGAAAGCACCTTTTGCAATGGAGGAAGGAAAACGTGAATTGCATTATACCTATCTGGATACAATTGGACGTCCTGTGGTTGTTGTGCAGAAAAGTAACCTGGTAGAGCAACACATTCAAGACTTTGAGGTATATAGCATAAACCTTTTAACTCCCAGGAAGTGACCAAGATAGAATATTTCATTACAAAAATTAATACAATATCTAGCAAACAATTGATGAGAAAAATTAGCAATAAGGATTATTAGTTGATCCAATACCAGTTAGGCATTTGGTTGGTCGACTATTTAGTCACATTCTCTTTCCCTCTGCATTCTTACAGTAACTGAAGTACCCCTTAATTAAACAAAGGCTTTATACATACAAGTGTTCAAGCAAAGAACAGCAGGATTAATGAATTAATTCCCTTGATGTGCCATTAAAATTTTATGTGCCTTAACCCTACTTTGGTCTTTCAACAGTTGCACTACACCTTTAATAAAGTGCTTCTCTTACAAGAGCCACTTCTAGTTGTTGGTGCATTTTACTTGCTCTTCATGCTTGTTGTCATCTACATGAGGTTGGACTTTGCAATCAGCAAGGTAAGGCTGTAAAAATATATGGTGTAAAAAATTGATTATGAGCTTTGCATTTGATGGTCTTATTTGGATGTCTTTCATCTTGGTGTCACAGTGGACTTTGGTATCAGTGCTGTGAGGTCGGTGTGAAACAGCTTTTGTTTAACACTTGACCTTGTCATTGATAGACACAGAATTTGAGTGGGGTTTTTCCAAAGAATCTTTTTCTACTGGAGCTCAGAACTTTATGCTTGAAAGTTTAATGCTTCTCAGGGTATAGCAATGTTAGTTACATGTGTTGTTGGAAATTCACTGAAATTTGTGCCTTTAGCCAATACCAGGTTTTGTTTCTCCTGGATAAAATGCTTTAATATTTGGTCTAACAACAGAGGCAACTGTCACCACCAGGTCTTTCTGGGTTAAGTGTATCCATTTTTATATGTAGGGAAACTTTTATGACACAGCTGTGTGTATTTTTTGGTTATCCATGGTACTGTGTACCTTATCATGTACTGATTACCATTTCTGACATTACCACGTTTTTCTTCAAGGATGAAGCTAATGAGTCACGCATGCGTGCTGCTTGTCTTATTGATGAGGTCCAGCGTCTGGTAGACCGTCAGAGTGGCCTTTATTCTGTATACTCTGACACCATCCAAAAGTTTAAATCAAGCAAAGATGCCACTGCCTTTGCTAATGCACGCAAGAAGTTAGATGGAGATTACCGCTCCATCAGCAATCAGATCACTCAGGTGCAGAACTCCCTTAACAAGGAACAACCTGAAGTTGCTGAGAAGGTGAGACTAATGTTCTTTTAAAAGCTTGGTACAGAACTTTTTGTCATGGCAGAAAGCTTCTTAGTGAACAGTTCCATGCATTCACTTCCTTGTTAACATAGATTCCTGTCAAAATCCAATGATCCAAGTTATTTTTTCAGTTCACATTTGTTGGTCACTACAGTCTCAGTCATCCAAGGAGTTCAGGAATTATTTCCAGGTTATAAGTACTGAAAAATAGTAATGGTTTGTGTGGAAAACGATCAAAACAAACAAACAACCAAAAAAAACCTTGGAATTTGAAACCTTAAACCAGTTTTTTTTCCCCTGAGACTTAAATATACAACACTTGTATATGGACTAGTCTTGTAGTTTCCAAAATGACTCTGCAGGGAGAGAAAGAATGATGCAGTGTCTCCAGAGCTATTTGCCTTTGTTTGTCATGCATTTTATCCATGTTATTTTCTTTGTTGGTGAGGGGAAGGGGTGGGTATGTGGGGGGAGGGGGGGTATGTTGGGAGCTGTTATTTTTCCAGGGAAACACTGATCAGAGGAGGATATTCATATATAACAGGGTGCTGACTGGAGCCTCTGTCTCATTTAACTTTTATAGCTTACAGACCTTCTGCGCAAAGAACATGAGAGGAAGCAGGCACTGGATGGAGCCATTTCTTTGGCTGAGAAAGTGGTGGTTGGCCGCCTTAGCAAGCAAGGATATGTGGAGAGCGAGTCTAACAACAAGACAAAGAGGCAGAAGCTGAGTGCTGAGATTGAAGCTCTGGCTACCAGCCTTTAATGAAGTTACTTAGTAATCCCTGTGATGTCATGGTGATATCTGTTTCCTTAACCCCTTAACTCCCAAGAGTGACCAAGACAGAATTTATCCTTACAACATCAATACAATGTGAAGAAGACAAGTGATAAGAATAAAGAGAAATATCAGTTGGGCAATTGTTAGTTGATTCGATACCGAATTCTCCAAACTAACATCATAAGAACTGTATGGCAGACAGTAAGGAGAATTACTTTTAAGATCTAGGAGCGAAATGGTTAATCGCTTTTAGCCATATTAACGATAATCTTTACTCTACAACAGAAAGCGATGAACATCTTGCTTCTGAACATTACAGAGTGTAAGCACAGGAATCTCTTTAGCAGCAATTAAATGAGTAGGCCCTTTCTCATCTAATACATTGGTAACCTGACATATTGAGCATGCAATTTCATGATTTGAGTTAATTGCGTTTGATTATAGAATTTGATAATGAATGGAGAGATTCAGGATAAAAAGTGAGAGAAAATATGTTATGTTAAGAGTTAAGGAAGATGGTGACTTGAATGTCACAAGCATGCAATGAAGATTTATTCTGTACACGTACAGTTACACAGATTCTGTTGAGATCACCTCAGAGCTAAGTTTGTGAAAGATCCTCACGATGAATAGAAATTATAATACAAAACGCAAGACCCTTGTTTCACGTAAAGGGGATACCTTCTAGTACAGATAAAGCTGAGTTAAAGTTATCACTGACATCACAGGGTTTATTGAAGTGATCATCAAAATAAAACAAGTTAACTTCGAGTGTTTAGGAAGAGACTATTCTCTTAGTTTTTCAGTTGCTTAAGGTTATGTCCCATTTTATCACTTATGTTAACGTGATACACTGTGAAGTGGTAATTTCGGGTCTTTGAACCCTCTATTGTAGGTTCTGCCTATTAAAAAAATGTTTCAAATGATATTGTCGACTGAATTTTCCAGATATTTGATTTCCACCCGTTTCGTGAAGACGTTACATGGGAATGATAAAAGAGCTATTGCTTCAACTCTCTATTCCCGTTCTGCAAAGATAATTATTCTACAGCAGCTCACTTCAATCCAAACCCCTCTTAAGTCGCGGTGTACGAATAATCCGAAGACGTTCGAAGACAATTTAAATCGTGGAGATCGACTGAACTCAAGAGAACAGCGAAAGTCTAGCCTACATGGCACAGGTCGCTGGACCTGAAGGTGGTACGTGACAGTGTCACCAGTCGTTAACATACGGAAGGGTTCTCTCAGTCATCAAGTAAGAGATACTGGTTTAGTGCTGTATATTGACATGTGAGTCTTGGTGGAAGTAACTTTGACCAAGAGGTGTGGGTCTTGTGTGGAAGCTAAGATGATGAGTTGAACGATTTAGTCAATGAGTTATTCGTGAGGAACGTGAGACGGAATTACTTTATTTGTAGCCGGATCGCCTCCCACTCCAAATGTACAGCTCTTCTCCCACTAAGCAATGAAATGACTCAAGACGGAGGCTTTGACCGAGCAGTCTTGGTCTGAAGTCTGGGTTCTACAAGGTTGAGCGCCATGTTTGACCACCCAAACTTTCTCTAACCAGTGACCGTAATCACCCAGAACTTCGGAATATCCTATCATGAACGAAGTTTTGAAAAATACCCATGTATTTGTGGATGTACTACGTATGGCAAGGAGTGACGAAGTGAAGCAATGGGACGAAAGTGCCTTCGAAAAAGCTTTCAAATGGGCCGGTTACTTTGAAGAGGCAAGTTTACATGTTCTAAATTACTGTGCTTTTATATGAATACACGCATTTTGATCAGTTCTTGCTTATGATCTATTGGACAACAGATGCGTAGATGACGGCACCATAAAAAAATTTTGCTTTTTTATTACATAAAAAAATGGAGGGTCTGTACAGTAAAAGATCACAGAAGGCGTCAAAATGTGGTAAAAGCATCAGTGATACTCGACCAGCTGTATCTCCTGTCCTTTTTCCTGTTTTTTTTTTTACCACATTTTGTCGTCATCTGCCATCTATTACTGAACAGATGCGCAGCGTCATTGAATCCATTTGTTAATGTAATCAGATTTGAACTGTCATTATCTAGTTAGTTTCTTAGAAAATATCAATGATCTACCCTGTACAATTTGGCAGGAGCCGGATTTGTGGGGGTTCCAGAACCATGACCTAGCGGTCATTTACTTGTGCACAGCATACACAACACACGTTTCCACTCAATGACATATACGTAAACATTGCGTATTTGTTAATCCCACTCTCCATTTTGTCTGTCTTATAACGAAAATATACTTGCTGATCTATGTGTAGACACCAAACGTTGTACTGTCAGATTATGGCCTTTTAAAGCACACAAGTATTCTCACAAGCAATTAACTGGAAATTAAATAAGTGATGAGAATTGTGACAAATTTCTCAGCTGGAAGCTGTCATATTGAGAAAACACAAAATTTTCTGAACTAACTTACAAGCAAATGTAAGCAGGTTAAAGTAGAGTTGTTCATCAGATGATGGAAATTTGGAATTCTTTGGTAATTATTTGTCTCTCTCTTCTTTGTCAGGTTTATCATAAGTTGCAGACAAAGCCTTCATTAGCAGAAAAACTGGATAAATATCTTGATAACTTCAATAAATCTGGGCAAATATACCTAGGAGATCTTAGATTATCCTTGGCAGTTCTTGATAATTCAAAGTCCTTACTCAGAAGGTTTCTACTTCAAAATCCTCATTTGTCAGAGAGCCAGTTCCACTTGACACTCAAACTATATGGCTTAACTGTAGGCAATACACAAAATTGTACCGACATTTCTGACTTTCTCACTGACTCTTTCCACTTGAGCCAAACAAGAGCTGCTGTACAACTGTTGTGTAAAATGAGGGATAGGTTGACTGAAGATATGAGATCTTTTCAAGGAAAACCATTAAAGAAATGTGACTCATCAACTTCTTCGACAAGTCTAATGGAATTTCCAGGTTCAATTACCTCGGCAGACATTTCCATGAATGCAGCTGCACATTGTTTATTCAAGCATGTTCAGCATCAGTTAAAGTTTGGACTCAAAGGTAATTTAGTAGCCATTCTTATTTATGTTTTTATGTTTTTAATGAAATTATCCAAGATCTTGGTACCACTTGAAAACCTTTTTGGAGTTTGAGAAAAAAAAAATGGCATTGGTTAACCTTTTACTCCCTGCACTGTACTCAATACATGTACTGCTGCATAATTTTAATATTTTCATTCTTTTATTTTTATGACCTGAAGATAAAGTGATGTAAACATGTCCAAAAAATATTACAAATGTTCCACTGTTACCTTTCTCTTCTCCATGAGTGAGTCTGGGAGTGTGAAGTCTTGAGATGTCATGAAAGTCATGAAAACCATTTACACTGTGCCAGCCACTGGGAATTAAAATTTTACCTCTGGCAACCATTTTTGATTTTCAGTCACTAAAACCTTGGGCTTGGAACACTGTAATATTTCATATTAAGTTAGTAATCAGGCAGGTTCTGTACAGAAATATAGATGCAAAGCAAGAGTAGTTGCCTCAGTCTCGTCATTATTTGTTTTGATGTTTGTAGATGTCAGCAAGAACAAGAGAGTCCTCTGTGACAAGCTGACAGAGCTAGCTAAGCAGGACAATGGACTGACAAGCATTATTGCATCACTGGTTTTGACTCCAGATGACTGTCAGTCTACTCAAGACTCTGAGACTGTCACTCAGCTAATTTTGGAGTGGGTCTTGGGTAGGTGTTAAGTGAAGGCATACAGAGGTTGAGATGGCAGAATAAGACATAATAGTACTGTATGGGGAAAAAAAATGAGATGTGGAAGTTGATATCCAAAAGGTGGTCCTTCCTGGTCAAACCGTAATTTGGAGGGTTGTTTTATGTGCAGTGAGGGGTAGGGGAGAAGCTGGAATAAGTATGGATCAAGAATAAGAAAGATCAACTTACTCATGGAGGTGCTGGTCTTATCTAAAAAAAAGGAATACAGTCCATTCAGTCCAATTCCAGGTATTGTTAGTGTTTGATTTTCCAATCTCCTAAGGGGAAATAACAAAACTGACAGCAGTAACTTAACAGGCTTGTCCGAGTGGTAACTACCCATACTTTTGAGAAACAGGTTGTATGTCTGGGAACAAAACTGGAATGAGTGCTCTCACTATTACTGTGTCTGATTTTGAAATTTTTATTTGATCGCGCATTGCGAGGTGTGAACAAACTTTTATTAAATCTTACAAAGTTACAAATTATATTGTAACTTTCAACAGAGTTCTTTGCCAGATGCAAACCAGATCCTCGTTTGATGACCATCCCTCCCCACATACTCACCAGAGTAGCCTTTATGTATCCTGCCTTTTTTGAACTGTACTTGTCCCATCTGCTGAGCTGGGCAGAGAAAATGACCCCCTATGTCTGCAGCAACGAAGAGAAGTGTTGCACTCCGAGAGGAATTCAGTGGAGGTAAGAATCTGTTGTATGCAAAAAAGTGTTAACAGTCGGTGCCTTAAGTACCCTACCCTTGCTCTCACTGGGTGTCTTACTTAAATTTACTTAACTCGTTCAGTGTCAATATTTTATTTCTTTTAGGTCTGGTTATCATTTTAATCAACCCGATTTGTCGCATGTAGTGACTTCCGTTTCATTTCAGCCAATGAGATTTGGAACCTCTTCCCTCCCCCCTCAGTCCAAAATTACCTACAGACAACCGTAAATTTTGTGCGTTTTACAGGCGATTGGAGACAAACGCGCGGTGAGCACGAAGAGCAAGCAACGCAACAGGGGAAGAGCAAAGAAAAAAATATGTTTAATGGCGTTCCTACCCCTCGTGCATGACTTGCATCTCGCGCTCTCTTCATTCTTGATTCCGTTTCGCCCGAAAAACGCATAAAAATTGCGCCTGTTTTGCAGGCTTAAAGGAAACGGACCCCCCAGAATTATTTTGGGGTTTATATCCGCTAGCGGGGGAAGGGGTATAAATCCGCGGTTTATAAAGCTGCGGGGTCCAAATCCGCTGTGACTCTAGTATCCCCTAGATCATTTCGGTGAACGAGATTGCGTTTATCTCGATTCCTGAAGAAATAAAAACAGTTTCAAATTTTCTGTAATGGGGTAATTTCGTTTCTTTCCTATTTCAGATACCAGGTCCAAGAACGTTCGGTGAGACTTCAAGACATTGAAAATGGACACCTTGCATTTACAAATCTCGCTGATCACCTGAGGCTTCTAATAACTGGGCCTGCGTCTGTTGCTGATGCAACATACAGAGAACTTCAATGTCGGTTTGCCGAGAGAGAATCAGTAATTGATAGTCGTCGATGTAGAAATACTCTTGATTCACTGAATTTGAACATTTGGGAAGACCTTGGAGCTTTGTTACGTTCAAATACAAACTTCTGACGACTGTGGCAAGTTGGCGAACTTAAAATGCGTTTTTCTTTGCTGACTTTTCTTGTTTTTCCTTCATCTTTGTCATAGGAAAAATACTAACCAAGATTTATAGTAAATGTAAATGCTTTCTCGCTAACTTCTGCGCCAAACAAACGGAACATGGTTGAAGTTTTAGCGTTTGTATTGAACTTTCTCATTGCAATTAGCACAATGAATAGTGGTAGTTCATAGCTTTACCTTTTCTCTAGTTTCAAATGTTCCATCTTTCAACCGAGAAACAAAGTTATTAAAAATTAGATAATCATTAACTCAGGTTGTTAACCAGCAGTAAAAAGCCTTTCGATTTCCTTATCACTGATGGTTCTCAGAAGTTTTGAGACCAATCTTCCGTTGAGTGTCAAAAGTAATCCGAGATTGTATTGGTTTTGCTTTACTTAGCACTGATTGGTTTAGGAAAGTCGCGAAACTTTCTCCACCAATCAAATGCAAAACTGATACCAATCACAACTTGGTTGCCCGCGTTTTCCCGCGCTTTAGGCAGTTTGGTTGTTTTTGCCTATAGTTCTCATGGGCTCTTGAGGGTATTTTTCTGTCTTCTGATTGAATGTTGTAATAACTTTGGTTTTGGTTCAACGACACTGAATCGAAAAGCGCTATATGTGTAGATTTAATCAGAAGTAAAAAATATCCTTGGAATTTCTCGTACCGCACACTTTGAGGAATCATCTGAACTAGTTTTAAATAAAAACAAGCTTAACTAGTCTCTCTGTTTGCTCCTTTCAATCTTGTTAGTTTTTCCTTTGTTTGTTTGTTTTTTTTGTTATGTGTACGGAGGGCAAAGGAGACAACTTGCGTCAGCCTTTAAGGTTTCTGAATTTGCGCTGTGCTGCAGGTAGTTGGAAATGAAGAATATTGATCCTGGTTGTTCAAAGATTTAGAAAGTTTTCATTCAGCCATGAGGAGCAAGTCATGGTCTTCTTCGATCTAGCTAAGTTAAACTCCTAAGTCCGAGCAAACCTCACTAAAATGATCAAAGAAACCTGTTTCGCCTAAACAACGAAACATTACAGAAATCCAAGACACAGGAGAAACTGAAAAAAAAATTACAAGTTGCCATGGTGAAAGCCATGGTAACAGTCTCTCAGAACTCCCTTACGTTGCTAAGGATACAGCCGAGCACGTGTTCTCGCAAAGTATACTGGGAATGGAAGAGGCTTGGTCGCGCAGGCTGGCGCGAAAAGAAAGAAATTCGACAAAAAGGAGAACGATTACCTTCTCATCTATGATATAATACCAATCATTTTGTTTGCACTAAGTAGAAAATGCCAGATGAGGAAAGAGTGAGGAAAAAACGGTTGGTTTCAATGCTATTATTCTGTGACGTTTGGCACCATGTGTTTGACTACCTGTAGTTTACGATTATACCGTGACAAGTTTTTCATTAAAATTTTTTGCCGCCTTCGATTATCATTATCCTTTAGACGAAAGCTCGATTCCATAATCAGTAAACTGCATCAGACGAATCCATCGGAAAAAGAGGGCACAGGAAGGGAAGAAAAGCAGGTAACATCTTTATTTTGCTATCCAGGTTGCGTGAATTTTCGTGCCGGCATGAGTATGTTTGTGTGTGATCGACGATTATGTGACATCAGAATACCAACCACTATTTACATATCAAGCATTGATTAACATTATGGTCAATTTTACGCTACGCTATTAAGGAAAATTTGTCTTTGTAACGTTTTCTGGGGGTTATATTTTCAGTTTGTTGTTCAGTTTAACTGGAGTTGTCTGAAAAATATCTGGCATGGTATTTTGTACTTTGTGTTCTGTTTGATTCATAATTATGTCACTTGTTTTTGTTCTTAAGACAATTTCGATTTCGTCGTAGTTAAGAGTCGAATTAATGGAACGATTTATTTAAAGCTGTGCCATAGGTGAAATGATAACTGAAGAAGCATAAAAGTCCTTCAGCAGCGAAGCAGATTTCATTCCACGCACTGCTCGCTTTTTTAACTCGAAGATCGATTACAGGCTTCGGTGAAAAACACTCACATGATTTAACCGGAATAGAAATAAAAGATTGCTTAGTACTTAATAGTTCCTTGTTTTGGCTAACCTGAAACTTAACCACTTTCTGCTTGCAAAAGAAGTCGTGAACCAAGAGCTGTGAAAAGTTGTTAGTATCGAAATTTATCGCAAAAAATGTAAACTGTGAAAATTAACAAAAATTTATGCGAACGTTGCATTTTGTCTAAAATATTAATGCAGTATTATTCAGAGACTTTTTCGTAAGCCTTAGAGAAAAAAAAAAAAGGTAGAGCAAATTAGTGCTTAATGGCACAAATATGTGTTGTTTTAACATATATTTGCCTAGCTTTTACCTACCTCTTTTTCCACGTTTGACCAATCTTTTTGGATCTAAGAAGTAAAGGAAAGATTTGTATTTATCATATAAACTGCGGTGTTTTTACAGATATTTCCAGCCCTGAAGAAAAGCCATAACAGCATATATGTAAAATTACGTAGTTTTATTAAAAATTTGTGTTTGATTTCACCAATCAGCTGTTGACGCATCACTTGCTTTTCGTGCCACTTTATCAGGTTGATGAATAAATGGCAAAGCCTTCACCATTCTCAGTCCAAGGTGGTATATCAAAATTTTCTCAGTTTATGGCTGCTACAAACACTGACAAATTCATTTTGCTTACAGACAGTGATGTTCAAAATTTCCTAGAAGCAGAAGAAAACCAAAATATGTTTAGAAAAATCAAAAAGTTACATACTTGGCTTTGGTAATGGCATTTCTTGCAGCTGGGAATGAAAATTGATAAATGAAAGATTTGCCATAGGCTGATTTTGGCTGTGTACCTGAAAATACTTCTTCTCTCTGTAAGGAAAAAGTCGATAACTTAGAATTTTGTGAATTGAAAGTTATGCCTGTTGTTTGTTTTTGTAATGGTTCTATGCATTTTTTTCATCTTGAGTCTTATCATGCTTATTGCCAATGCACTTTAAAACTTTTTTCGTAGATTGTGGATCCTATTTTTTTTCATTCATCAACGAAGTCAACTTTTCTTGTCAGTTAAGGTCTTTTATGTTAACGAGATAAACAAAATACTTTATGGTTGCTTTTGGATATGGAATGTCTCATCTCATGTTCAACTTGATACCTTACATGTTTGCTGTGCTCACTCATGAGCTATCAATTTGAATGCTTGAAGAGAAATTCCATATCTACATATGTATAATTCTCTCTATGTACTATAGATAATTTTGCTGTTCCTAAATAAAGTTATCCTACTAAACTTTTTCACTTCACACCCTTACATCACTATGCTTAAAAATAATGATAAATAAAATATTTATATAATTTATTTATTAAAAAAAGGAACAGTCTAAAGTAATTAAAAGTAATTACAAAAGACTTTTTTAAAAAAAGACATCGACAAACTGTTTTTAATGTCATATGGCAAAGCATTCCATAGTAGTGGGGCTGCCACAGAGGAAAACCTTTTCAAGTTGTATGACAGAGTAAAAAGAAGATGTTTGGATAATGAACTTAATTGATACGATGGAGTGAAGGATGTAAGCACATGTGTGACAATGCAAGTTGTTGAGTGCCTTGTAGGTTGTGAGTAAAATCTTGAAAATGATATGGTGAAGAGAACATACATACTGATAATAGGTTGTAATTGCCATGATCATTACCAGTCAATCCCACTTATCCCTCCCTCTTGACAGCAGGAGGCAGTATTCAAACTTCAGTGTTATATTGAACAGACACCAAAATAAATCGACACTTTGTATTAACTCTTAGACCCTTTAGTGTGATTGCCATCTAATTTCTCCTTACAATATCACCCCTGAATCATCACATTAAGGTCACCAGAATAAAGGAAATGATCTTTAACTAGAGAAGCTCTTGGTTGTTAAACAAATTCTCTTTGTCAGCACGTTATTTAATGTGTAAATTACAAGTCACTATGTACAAAGTGAACATCTGATGTTCTCATTTTGTCTTTCCCTCCATACTGTTCAACAAACTGGATCAAGGAGAAGCCCCTATTAATTAGAAGTAGATGCCAAATTTGAGATTTTTTCAGCTATTAATCTTGTATTTAGTGGAGACTTCAAGAGGTTTTACTAAAAGTTATCTATTGAAAGAAAAATTTGTGGGTTTGAAATCTTAGTAACTTCATGTTATTAAGATAAAACTTACAATAAAATGTGCTTAATAAAAAACTGCATAAATTTAACAAACAGATTCCATGTTGCAGTGGATCTGTTCAGTAGTTGATCATAGCAGATGTCAAAATGTGATAAGAGCAAAGAGTGGCATATGAAGCTGATGCAAGTACATGTATCTTGCTGATGTTCTTACCAGATTTATGATGTCTCTGTGATCCATTACTGTACAAACCCACAGCGACATGGAATCTTTTTTTTCTGATCTGATTAAAAGTAAAGTGTCAATGGTGATGCATCTGTCCATTTAACAAATAGATTCCAAGTTGCTGTGCATCTGTTCTTACCACATTTTGACGTCCTCTGTGATCTATTACTGAACAGACGCATGGCAACTTGGAATCTATTTGTTTTATATAACAAATAATTTTAAAAAGTTTTAATGATGACATCATCTATATGTCTGCCCTCCAATAGATCGTAAGTGAGAACCAATCAGAATGCATGCATAACTGAGCTTATTATATAATTATAATTAATAGATGTTTTAACTTTTGATGGAATTAACAATGCTCTCTGACTCTATCTTGACACATAAAATATTTGTAATGATATTTAAAGGAAAGAAATAAAGCAACAGTTTTTTTTAATTACCTTCCCCTTAATAAATTAAAATTACAAAACTCTAAATGCTGAAATGGGAAGTTTCATAAATCTTGTTTGTACTAGGACACTTTGCATCTGCGCACTGTTATTTACCTTTACTGTGAAAGATATGCCTCTCCACTTTCAAGGGTTTCAATTAAAGGCAGTTACCAGTTGCCTACAGCCACCTATAGGACCTCTTTTTGTTGTCTGTTAACCCTTTCACTCTTAAGATCTCGTTACTAACTCTCCTTACTTTCAGCTTTACAACTGGTATGATATGAGTTTGGAGAATTCGGTTGGATCAACTAATAGTCCCCCAGTTACATTTTTTCTTAATTTCCATCACCTGTCTGCTTGATATTGCATTTACATTGTAAGGATAAGTTCTCTCCTTGTTGCTCATGGGAGTTAAAGGGTTAAGTCTGTGAGTAGGCTCTCCTGTTTGGGGTTTTTTATTACAACCCCCTTTTCCGGGCAAAGCCAGCTATTACACGAACAACAGCTGCCTATAGAAAAAGTCTGCTTTGATAAGATTTTATTATACACACCATATTTTTAAATGAGTGGTTATCTCCTGCAGAATGATGCAAAGAAAGAAAATGTTGATGCTAATGAAACAGGAGAATCACTTCCAAGGTCATCAAGAAGGTAAAGATTCTTATATGTTAGATACATCAGTACTCTGTGGTTTGAATCATGAATTATGCCAGAAATGTAGTTGAAAGATGAACATTATAGAATTATTTTTTCTTTTGGTGTCTTCATAAAACTAAGTGAAGGCCAGTTTTGAATTATGCTGATTCTCAGTGTTTAAAAGACGGATTTTGTAGGGAATTAGACATTGAAGATGAGAGAATATTTGGTCATGATATTTATGGTTTTAGTTTTCTTTTTCTTTTCTTTATTCACATCCACAATAATAAT